GAGATAAAAATCACCCTTGCCAAGATGTTGACTGCAATAATATTTTTACAGTGCTTCATATGGTGCTGAGGTTACAGCAGATGATTAACAGTCAAAAGAATAGTTTACATGACACGGATATAGACCTCGTTAGCTGACAGGCACCCTATTAACTCAATTTTTCCTCATGGCAAATCCAGACAATAGGCAATACCTTAAGGGCCAGCTTGAAACCACACTCATCAGGCTTTAGATATTATTGATTTGGCTTATGAATTTGGCTATTGATTAAAATTTTGAGTCATTCCCAGGCCTAAGTGTGACTTGCTAATTGAGCTTTCAGCTGATGTATGGAGACAGACTTCCCTATGCCAGTGGTCACAACTGAGATCTCAACAATCGATGAGATTGTGATGTCTCTAATAGCAAGAAAACACCACAGCGGAGGAATTATGTATGATTCTGTGCAGCCACTTTCCAAGATCAAATATTAGCTAAAGATAATGCAGGTGGCTTGTTAACTGTGACCTGTCCTTCACAAGTATACACAGTTACTCTCCTTTTCCAAGCCTGGTTCATTAGTGCAGTAGTTCTGCTATTCTCTACATCTGCCTTCACACCCCCTTGCTGTGTTGTATAATCATAAATACTGACTCATCCAGAGCTCATGGTCTTTAGCCAGGAGAGAGTTAAGATCAATTCCCGCCCCCCCCAAATAAAAACACTATTGTTCTTTATTCTTTATTCCTTGTCCTCTTTGTATATTATTCTTCTTGTGTGCTGGGAACATGTTGACTCACTGCGTTGACTCAGAGCCCTATGAGGTCATTTCTTTTATTACCCCCACTTTTTAGAACAGCAAAAAAGCACAGAAAAGGTATGTTATTTATTTAAGGTCACAGAGCTGATAAACAGAAGACCTAGGATTCAAAACCAGGCAGCAGGGGTCAATGCCCACTATATTTTATAATCCATGTGTTGATGAAAAAGAGGAGGAAGAGAAGAAGAAATAAAAATCTATTTTATGTCAGCAACTTATCATGTGTACATGTGTCAAGAGCTGAGCTGACCAACCAGAAATCCTTCTCTGTAGACTCTGAATTAAAGAAGCATCAGGAAGCTGGGCATAATAGTGCATGTCTGTTATACCAGCTGCTTGAGAGGCAGGAGGATCATAAGTTCAAAGCTAGACTGGGGAGCTTATCAAAACACCATCTCAAACTAAAATGCTTAAGGAGAGTGCTTGCCTAGTATATATGAAGCCCTAGGTTCAATCCTGCACACTGCAGGGAGAAAAAGTAGCAGGAGAATGAAATTGTTAGCAGTGAGACTGGAATTAAAAAGTTGCAAATAGAAGACCAGAAAGTAAAGAGCGGAAGTGAGTTAAAGAAACCCAGCCACATGCTGTGATGAAGCCCAGGCCATATGTGCAGTTGTTCCAGCTGACAGCTTCAGCTAAGATCCGAGGCAACAGCCAGTGTCCCAGTGTCATAGCCAGCTGTGTAAATGAATCAGCCTTGGAGATGAATTGAGTCATAAGCACCACCTGAGTATAACTACTTGAGAATCTAAGCACGAGCTGAGCCCAGGCAACCCTCAGACCCATGGGAAAGAGGACTCACAACAATCATAAATAGCTGTCGCAATAATAAAGTGATTGTTGTTGTTTTAAGTTTGGGGCACTTTGTTACACAGCAATTATACACTCTTTCAGGTGGCACAGCCATCCCAGGATGCAGCTTGATCATTTCTCATCAGTCACAGTGCGAGTTCTGCCCTAACTCACTCTGAGTTTCACATACTAAATTGTTCTTCCTCTTAAGTTTTTAGCCTGTGACCTCATTAATCCTTTTGCCATCTGTGTCCCTTCTTCTCCTCACTCCAGATGTCATCAGGCTTGGGTATGCAGTTCTGGTTTTGCTGCCTTAGCAGAGAAAATCTTGGATTTTCCTTTCTGAGACCCTGATTGACATTCTCCTGCAGTGCTCAGTGGCTCCCCGGAATGGGACACAATTTCTAACCTGGCCTTCCAGGACCCATGCTCAGGATGTCACTCAGGCTGCCACTACCAGCCCCTGTGCCCAGCATCTGGGCTTGGTGTGAGCTTGTTCTGATCTGGGATCGAGAACTGAACATTCATTCCGGAGGTGAAATCTTGGAGAAGCTCAAATACCCACCAGAGGGTCAGCTTGTAGGCTCTAGGTCTAACTTCCCAGACTGGGGTGTGGATGGAGATTGGCAGGAGCTTTTGGTCTGTGAGCCCAGCTGTGGGAAGCAGGAAGAGGTGGAGGGTGCTAGTGGTTGGCACTGGGAGAGACCAATGCCATTTCTACATTGCATGGCCAGACCAAGAGTTCTCTAGGTGATGGTCACTAATACACCTATTTGTAATTGTCAGTTTCACAAATCAGCCTCTACTCACATGGCAATAATAACAAGCTGCCATTTATTAGCCTTTCCAGGGCCAAGTGTTGTATAAAATGATTTATATGTATTATCCCATTTAATATGCACAAAGATCCTATGTGTAAATATTATCTCCTTTATATAGATTAGGTAATTGAGGCTCAGAGAGGCTGAAAAATTTACCTGAGATCAAAAAGTAAGTGAAGGTAGAGCTGGAATTAAAACTCAGGTTAACAACCATGCTTGTAATTAGGATCATGCAAATTAAGATCAAGATGACGATCTTAGGCAAACTAACACTGAGCTACATTCTCACCTCAAAATGTGTGTTCATTTTGGGGGGGTCTGGGGATTGAACCCAGGACTTTGCAGTTGCTAGGCAAATGCTCTACAACTGAGCTATATCTCCAGTTCTAGGATGACAATCTAATACTACCATTTTGTGTCCATTACATTGGCAAAACTAAGATTGCTAACATCAAGAGTTGGCCAGATGGGGGACCCATGAAACTCTTTTATGCTACTTGTAGGGTGCAGGTGGATGACCTATGTTGTGAAACAGGTTTCTTGTAAACTTGAGAGTTCACATTCCCTCAATTCAACTCTAGATATGTATTTTAGACGATCATGTACTTGTGCATCAAGAGACATGAACAAGTGTAGTTACGGTGGCACTGGTAAGAATAGCAAAAGATTGTCAGTCAGGGACAGGTAGGAGACAGAAACCACACCAGTTTTCTTTTAACACAAAGAATGTAATATAAAGAATTGTTAACTAGGTATAGTTGTTAACTGGGTGACTGTAAGGTTATAAAAAGAATAAGGAAGCAATTACAGGAAGCATCTACCACCCCGAGGGCTGAAGGAACAAAGAAAAGAAGCTAAAACTATTAAAACCTAAAAACTCAAAGGAAGAGCTCTGTGGAGCTGTGCTCAGCTGGGCTGGTGTCTCTGAGCTTCAGCAAAGGGTCCTAGAAGCCAGGTCCTAGAAGGCTAGGTCCTAGAGAAGGAGCTGGTGGCATAGAAGAGACCTCTGTTGTGAGGTAAACAGCTTTGCAGGGAATGCTCAGAGCAGCAAGAAGCCTGCAGGACATGGAGCCCCTTCTCTTTACTCTAGCTTTGGAGTTCAACCTTATTTGTTTATTGGCAAAGACTAACAGAGTCTAAGAAGGAGAAATGTGGGTGGCAAGGTCCCAGCCCCTACATCACAGAGCGGGTACTTTTTATATTATCAAATATTATATAAAAATCCCAAATTAATCTGATTGTAAACATAGTACTTACAATGCACCCTTCCACTCGGACTCTGCAAGCAATGAACTTACTTTTTCAAAATTCTAAGAACAATATTCTAACTTGCAAGCAGATTTTCAAAAACCAAAAGGCCTACTGTAACTTGAACGTCCCCATACCATGATTTTTATTTTCAACTTTTTGTTTTAATCCTTCTTAGAGGCAGACATGATTTTCATGGTTATGATTACAACACCCCACACAATTGAGTGTCCTGCTGTACATGAGCCTTGCTGCCTGCTGTTATGGAGGAGGTCATTGTCACAAACCCTGAATGAATGCTAGGCCACTCTCTTACTGATTTCTCCTTTGCTTTTTTGAACATCTGGATTGTGTTTCTTGGGAGTGTTTTGGTTGCAAATGAGGGAAAGCCTACTCAAATAAGCTTCAGCAGACACAAACCTGAGTGTGTGTGTGGCTGTGGGTGGTAGAATTTACCAGAAAGAATAAGAATGCAAAAGTCAAGGAGGGGGGGGAGGGAAACACAGAGACAGCTGGGAGAGAAAAGGGATATAAAAAAAAGAACTAAAATGTGTTATGTACATGTACTGACACCTCACAATGAATGTAATCATTATGTACTGCAAACATGTACTAATAAAAATACAATGCATGTATTGAAAAAAATGCAGAGGTAACTCAAACTAGAGCACAAAACTAGGATCTAAAAAGAACCAGTGCTCTTCTTCTCTGTCCATCTCTTGTGCGGCCCTCTCTTTATTCTCTTTAAAGATTTGTCTTTTTCTTTCCTGCTATAAGCGTGTCTTTTCTACCTAGCAGTAAACATGACCACTGGCTGCCTCTGCTTTGTAACTATAGTAAAAAGAGCATTCAGACAGCAATCCCAGGGAGATTTGCTGAGACATATGCCCACCTATTAAGCCAATCCTGTTCTTAGGACAACCTTGAGTTATCTAATTGGCCAGGCCTGGTCATGTGCCCGTCCCATGGCCAGGGTGGGACCAGGGCCTTTTGTTAACAGATGAAGGAGGTTGAGAAGGCTGGGGGAGAAGACAGAAGACCCAGAGGAGGATCTCTGGGGAAGGATCACTGCATAAGATTCCGATTTTTTCACCATGGCAGTGCTAGGACCATTCTTCCACATCAAATCTTTCTCTTTTTTTTAGTAATTGCTTTGTATGAAATTTTCAAGCATAGGATTATAGCCATGGGTGCTTGTGAGAAGCTATGTAACACATTTGTGCTTTTAAAGCATGTTCACATCTGGGCCAGGGATTTAGCTCAGTGATGCCGCCACCTGCCTCAAAACCATAAAGTCCAGTAAAAAGCATGTTCAATCCCCAGTAAAAAGCATGTTCACATCTGCTACTTTATTTATGCCTCACAAAAAAACTCTCTGATAAGTGACAGAAAGGGAACCAAAGACATAGAGAAGTTGAGTGACGGATCCAGGGACACAGCAGAGATGAACCTTGAGCCCTGACTTCATGACTCCTATAACAACGCTCTCTCCTCCCAAGAATCACAAAGTTTAGATTAGAGGTGGCAGGGCTGGGGCCAGTGTCATCTCTGGCCAATTAAGGAAGTGAGCTTCTTCTGCTTTCTTCCCCTTTCAGGAGCTGGGCCAGCCGCCTGGAAGTGACTGTCTGGCAGCCCCTGCTTTCAGAGCCTGCTCTTCCTCTGATGGGGGATGTCCCCTCGCTGGACCTGCCATCCTCCCATTGGGCGGTCTGTGTGCGAAGCTCCTCCAGAACACCGTGGAGATGCCTCAGTGTAAGCAGGAGATGCTGGTCCTGGATCTGCATCTCAGACTGGGAGACAAAAAGAGTCGGTGAGGGGCATGAAAAGCTCTGGTTCCCCCTCTGCCTTGTCAAGCCTCTCCTTGGCAGAGACAAGCTTTCTGGGAGCCACACCACACAGCACAAGCCTCACATTCTTTATCTGAAAGGTACAAAGCAAATAACTTACCTTTCAGGGTCCTTAGGAGGAACAAATGAATTAGCCCACTGGAATATACACTCTAAAATGTGACAGGCATAACTCCATTATATTCTTTAATCCTCACTGAAACAAATAATTTTACTGGCATTAAGGTGATAGTGGCTCCTTTCATATTAAAACAAAGTGAAGTAAACTAGGCAGGCTGAGCCCTTTAGAACAGTGGTTCCTGACACATGGTCTGGGAATACTTGGGTACCAAAAGGTCTTTATAGGATCAGTAAGGTTAAAACTACTTTCATGGCCAGGGATTTAGCTCAGTGGTTTTGCCACCTGCTGTGCAGGTGCAGGGACCCGAGTTCGATCCCTGGTACCAAAATAAAACCTACTTTCATTACAATACTCAGTATTTTCCTTTTGCACTCTCATTTTCTTGTTAGTATACAGTGGTGTTTTCTAGAAGCTAATGACATGTAATATCTCAATAAATTGAATGCAGAAGCAGATAGGAGAATGCAGCTGTCTTCTGTTAAACCAGATACTAAAGTGATTTGCAGGCCGGGGATTTAGCTCAGTGGCACTGTGCCTGCCTCGCAAACGCAAGGTCCTGAGTTTGATTCCCAGTACCAAAAAAAAAATGGGCAAAGGACTTAAAGTGATTTGCAACAATGTGACACAGTGCCACTCTTCTCACTAAATATTTGCTTTGAAAAATAGTTATTTTAAATTTTAAATAAATACTGTTTTATTAACATCTAAAGAGCCAAGTGTGGTGGCACATGCCTGTAATCCTGGCACTCAGGAGGCTGAGGCAGGATGATTGCCATGAGTTTGAGGCCAGCTTGGACTATATAGTGAGTTCAAGGCCAGTCTAAACTCCATAGTGAGACCCTCACTGTCAAAAACAAACAAAACAAACAAAAACATGTAAAGAATTTATTTTTAAACTCCATTAATAAATAAATTTATCAGCTCTGATTTCTAATTCAGTCAGTATTGATAGCTGCAATTCACATAACAAGAGATTTGATTTGCTTAGTAATTTTGAGACACATAAAGGGATCCTAAGACCAAAAGTTTTGTGAATTGCTGCGTAAGAACTCTGCTATCATCAGTTACCCACTGTAATCCTTCTTTCCTGTTGCAATTTTTTCATGCATTTTCTGTTTTAAGTCCTCTTTTAAAATGTTAAAACTTTGGTTTCTCACTAGGTAATTTTTACACATGATACAACATTTAAAAAGCACAAAATGGCATATCCAGTTACCTCTGTGTGTAGGGGGATGGGTACCAGCACCCCTGTGGATCCCAAAATCCAAGAATATCCAAGTCCCTTATATGAAATGTAGTATTTGCATATAACCTAACACAATCCTCCTCTATAGGTTTCTTAGAGTATCAACTACAATTTTAATGCTATGTGTGTGGAACAAGGACAAGGAAGAAAAGTCTGTACATGTTTAATAGAGACACATTTTTTTTCACACAAATACAATGCTTTCAATCTATGGTTGGTCAACTCTTCCGATGTGGAACCTGAAGAAACGAGGCCAGTTGCAGCTAAAAGCTGTCCCAGCTCACTCCAACCTCACAACTCAACCTCTTTCTTCCCAGAGGTGATCACTGTGAAAGAGTCTCAGTTTTCCCTTCTGACTGTGGTCAAGGCAGAATCCACGATCATACAAGCAGATTTTCAACTTCTCTCATACTCTGTCTAACTTTACAAGAGAAAATGATAAATATTACTTCTCTCTTAAAAATAGCATCGGGGTGGGGGTGGGGGTAGTGGCTAGGGTATAGCTCAGTGGTAGTAGTTCTGTGTAGCATTTGCAAGGCCCTGTGGTTTGATTTTCAGAACTAACACACACACACACACACATACACACACACACACATACAAAAGTACTTTGATTTTCATACCAACTGCTTTACAAATGAAAAGGCCAAGTCTGTGTCCTCCCTTGAGCATTAGTAGCACTGCCCAGAGAGACTGGGAAGAGAATCTGGAAAGGGGAAGGGGCAGTGCAGACTGCCTCCCTGAGGATGAGGATTCTTCTGGCTTACCTGGAGAGGGTTGGGCCATCTCATCCCAGGCAAACATTGAGCCTGTGTTTTCTACGGTTTTCCTATATATCTTTTTGTCCAACTTTTAGCACCACCTCTGAATACGTGTTGGTGAGAACATGATGGAGTATGAGCACCACAGCAGTGTTAAGGGAGGTGGTAGGCCTGATGCCTCTGACTTGGAAGGCCAGAATTCCTGACCAAACTGGCTTCTGCAGCAGGGAAGTGCTTTCAACCTTCTCACTGCACAGCTCTACTTCCCTCTGTACGAACTAGGAACTCAGACATCAGGTTGGTGAGCATAGTTGCCATAGATGGCTGCAGCTGCTTCCCCTCTTATGGACCCACCAAGATTTGGGGGCTCACAGGATGCCAGGAAAAGAGGGAGAGCACCTTACTTTTGCCCATGGTGGTCACTGGCCTTCCTGATTTATTGTGTCCCTTTGCTGCATAAAGTGATTGTCTAGTAGGGGTCCTCCCCTGACAACAGTCAAGGGAGCATCTTGTGTGGCCTCCAGGGGGGCCCTTAGGGAATTGTGTAAATTAATCAAAAAGTCAGGGATCTGTTAGAAAGTTCTAGGGTCTTTCGACGATACAGGTGCTTGGGCTTTGGTAGCTGAGCTCTGGATAGGACCCTGGCTCCCTTGCTGCCTGGTCTTCTTCTATGGGGAAATAGGCAATCTGGGCACTAGTCGATCTCCACTTAGGCTTAGCTAACAATGCATATGGGGTACAAACCCAAAGTGCTGAAAGAGAAAGAATAGGGAGTGGAGGAAAATGCCCATTCTATGCCCGTGGCACATGGTAGAACCATGTGCATTGTTAGCTCCTTCATCCTTGCCCAAGCCTCTGTTTTCTGGAGGATCTAGGCTAAGACATGAAGTGCTCCTTGTCCACTAGAGTCTGGGTTATAACATCTGGTGCCAAGCATATACTAGGTGAATGACAAGCCCTTCTCTTGGAATACTTCTGATAACCTCTCCAAGGTTGGTGCTATTGTTATCCTCATTTTGTGATGAAGAAACTGAGGCTAGATGACATAAAGCTACCCAGGGGAGGTCACACAGAAGCAGAGCTGGGCACATTCCCAGGATCCAGTATCATTCTAAAACCAGTCTGGCGAGCACAGCATCCAGCGCCTTCAGTGTAGGTCATGGCCTACTTATCCCAGAACCTGAGATAGTGACCCTGTATTGTATGGCTGGTCCCAGAGGGGCACCTACAGGGCCACACTTCAGCCTGCCACCTCTGTCCAGCCAATAGAGCACCTGTCAGGGGGACCAGGAGACCTTGGGAAATATGAGGAAAAAGAAATGCCAAGACTTACCAGCTCCCTCCTCAGCCACTCCAGGGTCTGCCCAAGATTCAGGACTGGCTCTCCTGCTGTTTTCATCTCAGTGTCCTTGAGATAGAGACCCTGACAATGACCTGCTATGGGCCTGAAGGGCCTTTGACTGTACAGTCCTGGACCTCCTTTAGGCTGCCTGCAGGTTCCAGGCAAGTCACTGAGGATGGAGTTAATGAGGGCAGGAAGTAGCTCACATTAGAAAATGTAATTTGATTTTTTTTTAAAAACAGGCTTCAGTGCTTTGAGCAGAACAAAGAAGAGGGGAGGGAGAACATTAGCATGGGGACCTCAGTGCCTACCAGTTTCAGAAGCCAAGAAGATCTGATGTCAATAGGATCAGGGACCACAAAGCTTTAAATGATGCCAATAACGGTTATCATGAGCTGTGTGTCCCTTTCTAAGAGTTGTTCTGTACTTTACATATAAAGTGTATATATGCCTTCTTTGGGGTAGATATTCCACCTGTGGCCCCAGAGCCTCTCTTTCCTCCCTCACTTATCTAAGGCATCTAGATAAAAGGAAAGTCTTACTTTTTAAGTTCTCTCACTTCCAGAATGCCCTGTGACCCATTTCTATCAAATGAGATCAAAGAAAAAATTTGCTGTTGCACTTTAAAAAAATCATTTACCTTCCTAATAAAAGGGAAAATGTTACAAATGTATTTCCTTCACTCCTACTTTCCCTTCCCTTCTGCCTTGAATGTGGATGTGATGCTTGGAACTACAGCAACCATCATGCAACCATAAGACAAAGGCCAAAAAAATTAAAGAGATTTGAAATCATCGAGTCACAGAATCAGTAGCAGCATCTGCCTGTTAGGTGAGACAACAGACTCCCTGTGTAATTGGGCACCCTGCTATTTGCAGGCAACCACAGTTCTAATGAGCTCCCCTCATTTATTCTTTACAACACACTATGAAGTGGATATTCTTTAATTATCCCTTCCAATAAACACTTATTGAATGTTTACTATGTGCCAAGTTCTACTCCAGGCACTGGGTGTGTATCCCAAACCAGAAAGACAATGACCTTGTTTTCATGGAACTAATATCCTAGCAGATGGAAACAAACAATACAATCTACTCTCATTTAGGGTTTTAAAAAAATTTATTTTAGCCAGGGATTTAGCTCAGTGGTTTCACCGCCTGCTGCGCAAGCGCAAGGACCCAAGTTTGATTCCCGGTACCAAAAAAAAAAATTTTTTTTATTTTATTCATGTAAACTAGGAACCCTAAACCGAGAATTAGCATAGTGATCTCACGTAAAGATCTGAAGTGACCAGCAAAACAAGCTCATTTCTTGTTGGAGGGATTTGTTCTCAGCCTTGGCTGCACAAGATCCCCACAGATAAAGCTTAGATGAATTCATAATCCAAAATGACAGCACACACAGAAAAACCACTCCCATAAGTGAGGTTCCAATGTCCCCTTCATAGAAACTGGAAGACCTCCCTCTAATACCACCTCTTAAAGGTTTCAACACCTCTCAGTGGCACCATGGGGCCTAGACCAAGCCTTTAACAACACTTGGGTCTTTGGGGACACCTATCCAAACAAAAGCAATCATCTATTTTTGCACATGAGTTTGTGAGTTGGTGGGATGGTCTTCAGGTTGCACATCTTCAGGTCTCCAGCCTCATGGTCTCCTGGTGGCCTCCTGGCATTGCTGGGTTGCTGGGACATACTCTTCTCTTGACAGTGGAAAAAAATAAGGGAGCAAATGGAACCATGTGATGCCACTTAATACCTAAGTACAGAACTGTAACATTGTCCCTTTTTCTACCCACCTCTGGGCAAAGTGAATCACATGACCAACACTGAGCCTTATAAGGGGCAAGGATGGACACCTATCTACAAGGAGATCAGGCAAGAGGGGAGAGTCAGGGAGAAGGAGAAGTGGAACTGGCAGTCAGTTAAAAAAAATGAGGCCACAGGCTTAGAGGGGCCCAGAGGGAGGTGGCAAGCTGAGGCCACATGATGGCAAGATTCAGAAGCAGGAGGTATGGATGCATGACGATGGAGAGAGACACAGAAAGAACTAAAGAGAAGGTAATCTCAGAATGAGACTTGGAGGATAATTTGGGACTGCTAACACTTAGAGTATTTTTTTTTTTTTTTTTTTTTTTGGTACCAGGGATTGAACTCGGGACCTTGCACTTGTGAGGCAGGCGCCGGAACCACTGAGCTAAATCCCTGGCCCAAACACTTACAGTATTGATCTCCTACTCTGTCATGCTAAACCTTGACATACACAACCTCATTACATCTTCAAAACTTTATTGGGACTGCAGTTCCCAAACTGTGTGCTGAGGCACTCTCAGGCACAGCAGAAAATTCTGCACAGCAGCGCAAAAACAGTTAAAAGTTTGAGAGAAATACAATAACAACCACCAGATGCAGTAAAAACAGCTATTATTAAGTTATCTGAAACTACAGTATTTAGAAAATGTTAAGTATTCCTTTGGGCATGGCACATTGAAAAAGTACTGAGATGGTAAGGGTATGGCAAACTGAGAAGATTTAGGAACCTGTCCCTCTGAGGTAAGTATCATCATTATCTGCATTTTATAGATGACTATCAATGGATCCTATTATTAGCCACTTTTTATAGGTGAGGAAACTGAGGCTTAGAGAGGCATAGATTTTCCTAGGGTTACTCTAGCAGATGGGCAACAGAGCTGGAATTAAAATTGCTCCCCTTGCCCAGAGTGAGGAGAGTCTTGCCAATTATAAAATATAAAGGGCAGGCAGGGGCTCGAGCCACCCTGTGTGTTCTCTGCTCTACCCAGGAGTGGCCTGAACAGGAAGGCTCAATAGTTAGTGTCTGCTGCTCTCCACCTGGCCTCCAGCCCTGATGACTAATTATCCTGGAATACTCTTTCTGTGGTTAACTTGTTCTGATGCACATTCATTTATTTTTAATAATCCCACTCAGGATTCTGTCTCAGAGCACATTTTACTTCAAAGGCTCAGAAACGCTTTGGCACATGGTGATGTGGGGTTATAGAGCCAGGAGACCTGGACAGGGAAAGAACTTCAACCCTTCAATGAGGAAAAATGCACCACCAAATATGAAAGCCAGAGTGGCCATTCATTCTTCATCCATGGACAGTCAAAAGTATAGTTTCCATGGGCCAGACCCTGCAATGCAACTGGGGACACAGTGGTGAGCAAGAGGGACCTCACAGAGCTTATGGTCCATTAGCAATCAACTGGTTCAAAAATCTTACTTTCTGCCCCATATGCCTGATATATATGTGTGTGCTTATGTATGCATGTATGCAGGTATGAATCAAATGAATTTGTATATATATAAAATTAATGAATGAATTTGCAAATGAAGAAACTATGTCTCAGATGGGGTTGTGAGTTCCTCAAGCAAATAAGCAGCTATAACAAGGATTACAGGATATTCTTCAGTACCGTCTTCCTTTCTTACAGGGCAAAATACTAATATTTCCCAGGCTCCCTTGTGGATAAATGTGGCCTATAATTAAATCCTGGCCAATGGGACACCAATGGAGATTATACATTCATAATCCCCCATCCCACTGTGCTCCATCTGTGGACTTCAAAGCAGCAATAAGAGTTGGAGCTGGAGCAGCCATCTTGGGCATGTTATGAATTAGATCTAAAATGTCTCCCCATATTCTCATGTGTGTGGAAAGTGATTGTTGAGTTCGGTAGCTAAATGCAGTGTTAGGAAGTGGGCCTAGCTGGAGGTGAGTCACCAGAAGCATGATGTGGAAAGGTATATTCTTGTCCTCAGCCCCTCCTCTCTGCTTCCTGAATGCCATGAGTTGAGCACATTTTCCTCCACCATGTCCATTTGTCATCCTGTTCCTGTCTTTGAGCCAGCTAACCATGAACTAAAAGCGTGAGCCAGAAAAACCTCTTCTCCTTCAAGTTGTGGGTCTTGTGTATGTTGTCCCTACAACAAGAAACCCACAAGATGAGGATGACAGAACAAGATAGAAGGAACCCTTGCAATTGGTTAGCCACCATGTCAGCATCAACCCTCAAGGAAACTTTTTAGGAGAGAGAAATGAGTTCTGTTTTATTGATGACATAATTATTTTCACTTTTTCTTGTTACAGGAATCAAACAAATATCCTAACAATATAGCAGCAAAGCTAGAGCTGAAGTTGAGTTCCTGACTTCCCCACTCAATACTTTTCCATAATACCCCTACTTATATATTTAAAGGTTCATTCTCTTCAAGTATTTTCTTATGACTGAAAATGATCCTTCCAATAGCTCTGTGACATCCATAGTAGAGAGAGGACTTCTGTGACCCTCACTGGGTAGAGAGGGAGACCCAGATCCAAGGGTGGCAGGTGGACACACAGGGGCAGAGTCACTCCCCTCTCTCAGATGGAGTAGGTGGGCTCAGAGATGTCACTTAGCTCTTTCTCTATGTTCAACCCCTACTCCGGGGCTCTTCCCACCTTTGGAGCTGGCTCCTTTTCTATTTTGGGCACCTTGTTTACTTTGCAAAATACAAACTAGGTGAAGTCTAACAGAGAGAAACTTCACACTGTAACAGCCTCTGAGCCCTCCCACCCTCCCTTCCTACCATGCAAGCTAGTGCCATCATGCCAACCAGAGGGAGTGTGGGGACAAAGCACCCAGGGTGCCCAGGTCCTGGCCCCACCTCTTCTATGGCTCCTTGCCTTGATCCAGCAGGCTTCTGCCTATGCCTGTATTTGTGTTCTTGTGGGTTCTGAACACATATTCTCTGGGCTCCTGTGTCCCATAGCAAATGCTGTTGGGCCCCTTGCATGGTCTCTCATTACTCACCTTCTCCACATGTGCCTCTGGCTTCCTACTGCAGGCATATGTGACTCTGCTTAGGGGATGTGCTTGACCTGAGCAGAATATGGACTTCAAGCACAGAGAACAGCCTACAGCAGACAGAGGCTGGGGGATAAATATCTCGATTCCCACAGCTCCCTGGCAGTATGACACTCAACCCAGCAGGACTGAGCCCCAACTGCTCATGGCAGTCATCTACCCACTGATGCACCTGTGGGGTACTGGCTGCCCTTCCTTCCTGGTCTCACACAAGGTAACAAAGGTAAAAAGAGAAGTTTATAAGCATCTTTCTGCCCATTTTATCTTATTCAGACTACTGGGATTAGCGTGGTGCCAAACTAATCACTCACATTGTAGTAGTTTAGTAATCACATGCCCTTAACCCCAGCATCACAAATTCCAGATACAATTACTTCTGAAAAAGAAAGTCCCACCTCATCTGCATGAGGCTTTGGGGGGACATCTAAACACAAACCATAACAACATGAGTGTTCCCTATGCAGGTATTCAAGTCCTTCTGCTCTGTACCCATGGTCCCTGTGTACATGTGGCCTATACACTCCTGTCACATGTCCATGTATCCATTACACTCTCCTACACATTTCTGTCAGAGGCAAAGGGCAGCTTGACCCTGATGAGTCATGGAGCCTTTAGTGAAGCAGCTGGGACATTGAGAAGAGTATCCTTGGCCTCAAGCTGGCCTTGGCTGGACTGATGCCAGTGGCTGCGCTAACAGGAATCTCAGTTCCCTCCTCCAGTGAGTGAGCTCTGTGTTGCCAACCTGTCTGAGCACTGAGGGTCAAGTAAGAAAACACACAGGGACCATCACACAGGAGCAGCTCTATCAAGCACCTCCATCCCCTTCTCTCCTCCTGGGCCTAGCCTCTCTCAAAGGAGTGGCTTGAATGTGGCTAATCTAGTGCTTCTGGGGCACTAGGCCTTGTGCTGGCACATGAATGAGAGATGACATGGTCTCTGCCTTCAAGGGACTGCAAGTGGGGACATTTGCTCTCACAGAGGCTGAGGATGTGGGTATCAATTTCCTCTCTCCTCCCCTCTTCCTCATCAGGGAGAGAAAACAGGACCTCAGTTTTTAATTCCCCAAGGCTGAGAGTGCTAGACAGACCAGGTGGAAGGAGGAAGCTGGTAGGACAGATGGAAGATGTGTGTGCACGGGTGGGTAGGTAGACACTCCTCCAGAGGCTGGAGTATGGCCCCTGATTTATTCTCTTAAATCCCTGAGCCAGGTCCTATTACTGAGAGATCAGAATTGCTTCACAAAAGCATTACAACTTTAGGGAATCCAGATGAGCCAGGCTAGGGCCAGGGGTAAAGAGGAAACAAACAAACCCAAACACTAGAGTTCAGCCAGATTTGGACACAGGTACACACTGAGGGGGAAGGGGCCCTGGGATTTTAGGTCTATCTAGGTCCCCAAATCAACCTGGGAGATAGAGGCCCTTAGATGTGATTGGACTTTTGCTACTTCAGTGTGGCAGTATGGTCATAGCATAGTCTCTTCTCTCCTTAGTACTTGACTTTCCCAAATGTGGAAATATGATGAATATTAACAAACTCTTGAGAATTTTGTAACTGCTATGAAAAAAATGATGAAACCTGGCATAGTGGTTCAGAGCACCAAGCCGAGGTCTGGTTTCGATATCAGCTGTGTGACTTTGGACACAGAATCATTAACCACTTTGTACTTCAATTTTCCTAAAATGGAGATAATAATAGTGGCTAGGTGATTGGTAACTAAGATGATTGCATTGATATTTGTAAAACAAGCCTGGCATATGTGGAGGTGGGAAGTACTATATGAATACTTATCAAATAAAATAAACATAGAAGGAATTTGTTGCTATTCATCTCTGAGCTTTGTACAGTTGTTTCCTCTTCCAGGAATACTTTCCTTGTCGCCTCTTTGCCCAGTGAACCTCAGTCTAACTTGGGTTATTCTTTCCTATCACCCACAGGGCTTTCTTGAGCCTGGCTTCATGGTTTTCTCATTTGGAACACATGAGGCTGGACTGGATCTGTACTTTCCAACATTCAGCCACTCATATGCCTTCTTTTCAATGTTTCCTACCACTTCGACTTAGATATACTTATGTTTATCTTTAAATGGACTATATTAGATAAGAATACTCCTTCAGAGTGATAGATAATCCCAAGTAATAGTAACAGTAAAGCAGAAGTTTATTTCTCTCAAGCATAAAAATATGAGAAATTATTCCAGGCTATTATTTCCATCTGGTCATCAGGTACCAAGGTACCAATAAAACTTCAGTTTTATTGCTCTCCCACCTTAATGGGCTTCTATCTCATGGTCCAAAATGGCTGCTTAAGTGCCAAATATCAGGTCTACATTGTGACAGCATAAAAGACAAAGAGAGAAGAAGGAAGGATTCCTTCCTTTCACAATACGATGCATTTTTTCCTATACCACCTCCTTTGATATCCTAATGTCTTATCATCCACTTGGACATACCTAGCTACAAGGGTGACTGAGAAATGGAATCTTTGTTCTGGACACACTATGCTTGCACAAACCAAGGATTTTATCCCAGTGTAAAAACAGAGGGGGATGTGAGTGAGTATTGGAGGAAAACAGCAGTTTCTATTGCATCAACTTCATAGAGACTCATTTTTTTTCTGCCACTACCATAAGTAATATTACCCATGATAACTGTGGCTTCATGAGCTTGTTAAAGATTTTCCTGAAATAATTTAAAATGAATACTTAGCCACTGAAGATAATCACATGTGTGTAGCTAAAGTATAGGTGAAAGAAGATTGTTACATGGTGATCCTTAATGATCCATATCTGCTGGTGTTCATAACTCTATATGGATCCCTCCTCTTGAAATCAGGCTGGCCTGTGACCTATAGTAAGCAGCGAAATTCAGTGAAGAAAGTGCTCGGCCAGTTCCAGGCTTCAATCTTAAGACGGCCTAGCAGCTTCCTCTTTAGTGCTCTGGGAAATCGACCATTGAGTGCGATGTGCACATTCTGATGACCTGGAGACCAGCATTGTGTAAGGAAGCCCAAGCTAGCCACATGAAGGGCCCATATGGAAGAGGACACAAACCCCCAGCTGACAGGGATCATCAAGTCTACAGATACATGGTGACCTAGCTATTCATGCCACCTAGTTGACACTGTATGGAAGAGAACTGAGCTGCCCTCACTGAGACCAGCACACACTGCAAAACTGTGAGCAAATAAATGATGATTTCCTACTAAGCTGCTAAGTTATGGGGTGGTTTGTTACATAGCAATAGATAGCCGAGAACATATTTATCTATGTAACACCTAAAATCATGTTATGTACCTCTACCCTTTGGAATATTCTGGATTCAGAGTATGCTCTAATAAGAGGTCCCCATTCTTCCTTTCACAGATTACACAATACATTTGGTACATAATTGCAGCTAATTTTTGAGGACTGACTGTGTGCTAACATGACCACAATAACCTCTAACATGATCTGTTTTCTCTCATGTTCCTCTGTACCTGAGAGCTGACAGGAGAAGATTTTCACAGTGCAAATCTGGTCACATCATTCTCAGGTGTATTACCCACTGCAAAGTCCAAAGGGGATCTTCTTAGGTTCAAGTACACATTCAGACTTAACAGATGACCATAAGCCACTCTTGCACTGACCTGTTCCAGAGTATGTAGGACAGGGACTTCAGTTTTTCAACATGGCACTCAGTGCCATTAGGTGCTCCTCAGAGTAGAAGTCCTTGCTGCTTTCAGTGGAGCAGAACTGTTCAGGTGCAAAATGGAAGTCCCACTGGGTAGGTGCAGGACCAGTCTTGGTTTATTCATGTCCATGGAAGCCAAGATTTTGGATCTGCCCAGGTATATGCATCACCATGCTCAGGAAGCCCAAGGCATAATTTCCAGCCAGATATTTATAATTCTTTCCCATTGTTGTTAAAAATGGCAACATAATTTTTTAGAACAATTTTAGATTTATAAAGGGAGGAGTAGTACAGGGAGTTCCTATGTATCCCACTGCCAATGTTCCCTATCATTAGCATCTTACATTAATGTGGTACATTTGTGTCAATTAATGGCCCAATGTTGACACATTATCATTAACTAAAGCTCATATTGTATTCAGATTTCCCCAGTTTATATGTGCTATACTTTTTCTGTCCCAGGAGCTCATTAAGTATATCATACTATATTTCACTATAATGTTTCCTTAGGCTTCTCTTGTTTGTGGCAGTTTCTCAGACTTTCCTTGCTTTTAATGATCTTGATATCTTTGAGGAAAACTAGTATGAATTTTATAGAATATCTTTCAGTTGGGGGCTGGGGATTTAGCTCAGTGGTTCTGATGCCTGCCTCGCAAGCACAAGGACCCCAGTTCGATCCCTGGTACCAAAACAAACAAACAAACAAAAGAGTATCTTTCAGTTGGCATTAGTCTGATGTTTATCTCATGGTTAGATTGGGGTCATGGGTTGGGGATTGAAGGCCTCAGAAAGAATGCACCATTTGTACCAAGTCATATCAAGTGTAGACACTGTCAACATGACTTGACTCTTGATGTTGAGCATGGCCACCTGGCTGAGGTAACCAGGTATGTCAGGGTTCTCCACTGCAAATTCAATTTCCACTCTTTCTTGTACACTTGGAAAGGAAGTTACTATGCAAGCCACACTTAAGGATTCAGGGGTTATGGCCTCCTTCCTTGGGGACCAAATAGGTACCTATTTGGAATTCTGCATGGGAAATTTATCTCTTCTCTTCATTTACTCATTTATTTGTTCAGTTATTTATATCAGTATGAACCCGTGGATATTTATATTTTGTTACAATCCAATATTACTTTATTTTGTTATTCAAACTTCTCATTATGGCCATTGAGAGGTCTTTAAATTGCCTTATGTCCTTTGATACCCACCATGAGACTGTGTGCGTGCGGCATGCGTGTGTGTGTTGAACTTTTAAAAATTTCCTGGCACTGTAAGATGCTCCAGGCTCATTTTGTATATCTGCTGATATTGACAAGTAACCAAACGTCAAATTTACTTGCAAAAAAGGAAAGGTTTGGTTATCCCAAACCTCTAGGTCTCCCTGAGTTCTTTGCTCCTGGCCCCTCGCTTTCCTCGCTTTAACACACCTTTCCTCTCTGCCTTTTCCAGGAAAGAAGAAGAGGCAGTTATCCTACACACTGCCTGTTCACCACACCTCCATTCTGGGGTCTGTGGGATGGGGCTTGGGGCCTGTTCTCCAGGCTGCCAGTCTGATGGAGGAGGCTGCCCTTCAACAGAAAATCACAATAGAGATAAGGGCACTAATGCAGGCGACGGGAAAGCCCAGATGGAGGGGCCGCTGGGGTGCAGGTGTGTGCGTGGCGGCCGGTGAGCTTCTCAACAGAGGAGGCGCTGCAGCCGGCCCTTGGAGATCGGCGAGTGTGGCCACCGGCTAACTCCCAGAACATCCTCGTCCCACAGCCAAGAGTCAGGGGCTCCCCCACACGCTTCCTTTCAGCCTTCAGGTGGCGCCCTTGGGCTATGGAGCCCGACTCGCCAGAGGAGATTCTGGACGTGTGTATCTCAGAGGGGACCTAGATCCTACCCGGGATTGTGTGTGTCTGCGTGTGCGTGTGCGTGGGTGTGTGTGTGGGGGGGTGTGTGACTGACCAGGAGAACACAGTCCTTCCTTGCAGTCAGGACTTGACCTGTCAGCAGAGGGCTAGTTGTAGGGGGAGGGCGGGCACCTGGGCTCGGCGCCTCAGGGCCTCCCCAGGGAGGAGGAGGAGTCTTCAGCCCCTCCCCCCTCCCAGTTCCCGAGCCCCGGGGCCGCGGGTTCGGAGCCCGGGTTCCACCAGCCGGGCGCAGGCGAGATAGATGCGCTCCGAGGGGAGGGAGACGAGGAGGGACACGCATCCCTCCGCCCTCACCCTAGTCCCTCACCCACTCCCGGTCCCTCCCCGCGCTAACTCTCCGAGCGCCCTCGCCGGCCGCGGGCGGAGCTCGATTCGCGGCGCTGGAGGATCCCGGCTCCCGCCCCTTCCCGGTCTGTCTCTCCCTCGCTCCCTCCCTCCGCGGAGGCCCCCAACGGCAGCCACCGCCGCGGTGTAGCCCCGTGTGGCGCTAGCAGGTACGTGCGTCTCGGCAGCCAGGCGGGGCCGAGCAGGGGGCGGGAGCGGGGAGGGCGAGGCAACGGCGGCTGGGCCAAGCCGCAGCAAAGACCAGAGCGGACGGGTGGGGGCTGTGGGAGGTGGCGGATGCCCGGGAGGACGCGCCCTCGCTCGTTGGTCGCCCGGTCCCTTCGCCCTGCATGGGGAGGCAGGCAGGCCCCGCACAGGTACTGGCTCGGAGAGGCAGCTGCGGCGGGTAGGGGGGCTTCAGGCAGAGGGCCGGAGGCGGGGAGTGGCAGCGAAGGACAGTAGCCTGACCTAGCAACCCGCCGAAGGACACGCGGTGAGGGGACCCAGGCGCACGCCGGGCCCCCCCCCGGAGCCCGGCCTTTCCCGGCCGCCCTTTTGTGGGCGCTGCGGGGCCGAGGCCGGCCTGGTCGGGGCCGTGGCGTTTGTGGTCAAGGGCAGGAGCAGAGGGTGTGAACTGCGGGCCCACGGGCGCGCAGGTGCAGTGGGCGGCCCGGATGCTGAGGTTTCCGCGCAGAACTTTGGATATGACTGCGTGGAACTGCCCGTGCGTTTCTGCGCACCCCGAGGCTTTGTGTACAACTCGCGCGTGTGTCTATCGATTGGGTTTTGTGAGGCTTCATCCATCCTCGCTGCGCGTCCCTTGTCTCCCCAGGTGCCAGTGTGCGCCATGGGTGGGGTGTTGGGCCTCGGCGGGGTTTGGTGGATCTGGCTTGGATCTTAGCAGTCCTTGGGGGTAATTTATTCTCTTCCCGCCTCATCTCTCTGTAACCAGCTATACCCTCTCCTGGTTACCAGAGTGGCACACTGCTGGCTTCCCCAGTCTGTGGATAGTGCTGTAGAAATGAGGGGGCGGGGTGAGAGTAGAACTGAAGTACTGGAGTGAATCTTTCAGGACCTGCCCCCTGCAGATGGAACTGGAGTAACTGATACAGTTGTGGGGTGTGAATAGTGAGCAGGGGCATCTGTGTCACTTTGCCTCTGCTTATTCTTGGGTAATTGATGGGCATGGCCTTGTGGAACTGGTGGACATGGGAACCCTTGGCAGGGAAACATTATAATGCTGGAGTGGGGAGAGCTCCTTTTTCTCTGCCCCCTCATTCAGGCATCCTAAGGAAAAAGTTTTGAGTTCTGCAGGGTGAAAGAGAGCTCCCCTCTAAGAATTTGGGTGTCCTAGATCTCCTCTGGGATATGGAGGCCCCAATGTGTCAGTCTGGGGAAGGGGTCCACACTAGGAGCTGTGTTCTGTGGAAGGTGCCAAGGGCCTGGCGGGGGTGGTACATCTGATTGCCCAAGTAGCACTCATTGCTGTGCCCTGTTTTTGACTTGAGGTCCTAAGAATGAAAAGCCAACCAGCCCTCTCCACCTTCCTGTCTAGTTACTGAGAAGTGAGCAGTCTGGGCAGGGGCCTGGGCACCTAAGTGGAATTTAGATATCTCCCAGCTTGCAGGACTGGAGGAGCACAGGAGCGTGTGGGTTTGCAAGTTTGTAGGAGCTAGTAATTCTTAGAGAACTCCTGGTCCCCACATCCATCCCATGAGATCTTGGCTCTGTTTTATAAAACTATGGTTCCTGACATCATGGGGGTGGTGAGGGTTATACAAGATATTCCTGACTGAGGGGCCCCAAACAGGGCCAGCAGGTAGTAGGTCCTCAGGGAATATTTATTACATGGGAACTCTGGAAAGAGGGATGTAGTGACAGAAAAGAGTTGTCAGAAACAAGCCTTGTGCTCAGGTAAAAGGCCCTATGTGTGCTAAGAGAAGATGTCTGCTGCAAATTCATATTGGAAGAAAGTTCAGAAAGATTGGAAAATATACCTTCTTGCCCTAAGCCTTTTGGAGTTTCATTCATTCTCACTTCATTCATGTGCTCATATTCAGCTCTCTCTGTCTCTCTCTGTCTCTCTCTCTCTCTCTCTTTCACACACACACACACACACACACACACACACACACACACAGAGCTCTAGAAAATGCACAGAATCCACATTGAGTATAAACACTAGAGAACCAGACCATGGGAGCCTTTCTTCACCTGAAAGTCTCTGTGCCTGGAGTGTGAGGGTGTGTGAGTGGGTAGGTGGTGTTGTATTCCTGTGCCAGGAGCCCAGGATGTATGTGCCTTCAGGGCATCAGAGTGTTTATGGTGCTGGTGTAGGAGCAAGAATGACACATGCTAGGTGGGGAGGGGGGCTGAGGTGGGGCAGTAGGGAAGAGTCTAGACCTAGCTAAGGGAGGGTCAGATGGCCAAGTCCTGCTGAGTGTTGGGAGGGGAGGGGAGCCCAGTGTGATCATATTCTTCCATTTTACAAGAGAATCCAGGGATCCAAAGTTTAAATTGTAAAATCTTTTGCTCTGTATATATTGGCAATGAATTCATCAAAAACAAATGAATAGGCCAGAAGCAAAGCAAAACAAAGCTGTGGGGGGCGAGTCTGGCCCATGGACTGAGTCGGTGCCCTCTGATGGCAAGCCACACACATGCTGTGTGTCTGGTTCTGTGGTGTGGATGTAGGTGCGGGGTGGAGGAGATCTGCTTTGCAGCACAGAGAATACCCTTTTCTCATTCCCCTCCCAGCCCTCCAGGTCCAGGCCTCCAGCCCCACTGTTTACATAAAGGCATGTGGTTTGACCTCAGACTGCGCCTTTCCTGTAGCCTAATCTACCAGGCCACCCCAACCTGTTGGCTTCGTTTTTGGACCTTGTTCTCTATTCTGTCTCTTCTAAACCATCTGTCCCACCTTCTGACCCAGCCGATCCCCACACTCCCTGCTCTAATGCCTGGCTATCCTAGTCCTTTGTGAGCTGGCTCCAGCCAGCCTTGGAATCACCCTTGATCCTTCCAGAATACCCTCATCCCCTTGACTGCTGGGGAATTTCCCACTCTTCTTCTGAGGTCTGGCTCAAATGACATCAACTCCCAGAAGCTCCCCTGCTTTCCCTTCTTTCTTCACATAACACCTTAGTCATCTCTAACACCGCTCTCCCTGCCACATCATCCTCTCCTTGTACAACAATGTCCATTGGTTTAACTGGTCAGGGCCTTGTGTACATTAATTTATGAAATTTTTACAACAACCTCATGAGGAAGGCATTTTGTTTATTTCTTGTTTTACAGATGAAAATATTGAGTCTGAAGAGGAACTCCCATCACTTGCCTAGGCTCAACTGGGGAAACTTGGATTTGAACCTGACAGGGACTCTGTCCAAATTACTCCAGCATAATAATATCTTGCCACTAATACTTACTGGACACTTACGCTGCTGAGTACTCTACATAGGTTGTCACAACCCCTATATCAGCCTTGTGCAGTAGGAAGTAGTGGTATTATTATAATTTATGTATGGGAAAACTGAGGCCCAGAGAAGATAAATGGATTGCCCAAAACTATATGCTAATCAGTGGTGGAGCTAGAGCCTGGCATGCATAGCACTCCAGGTTGCAAGTGTGCCCAGGGACAAATGCAATGTCCCGTGCCAGCAGTACTTGGTAGAGGTTTATTCAATTCAACTGGCTTTCTGTTTTCTCTTCTAGCTGTCAAGGGGCCAAGGGATGAGCTGGGGTCTTCCTCTTCAATGGCATCTCCCCCTGGTCTGGAACTGAAGACACTGAGCAATGGTCCTCAGGTCCCAAGGAGACCGGCCCCACTGGGCCCAGTGGCCCCACCGAGGGCTGGGGTGGAGAATGCCTGTTTCACCTCAGAGGAGCATGAGACTAATTTCCAGAACCCTGGGGATGCCAGACTGGGCAGCTCCCCCAGTCCCCTGGGGAGTGTTTCCTCACTGCCCCGGTCCCAGCGGGACGATCTGTCCCTATATTCAGAGGAAGGGCCAGGTTTGGAGCCCGTGAGCCGCCCTGTGGATTATGGCTTCGTTTCTGCTCTGGTTTTCCTGGTGAGTGGGATCCTCCTGGTGGTAACAGCATATGCCATCCCCCGTGAGGCCCGCGTAAACCCGGACACAGTGACTGCAAGGGAGATGGAGCGACTAGAGATGTACTATGCCCGCCTGGGCTCCCACCTGGACAAGTGCATCATCGCGGGCCTGGGGCTGCTCACAGTGGGCGGCATGCTCTTGTCAGTGCTGCTCATGATCTCCCTGTGCAAGGGTGAGCTGTACCGCAGGAGGACCTTCGTCCCTGGCAGAGGCCCCAGGAAGACCTATGGCTCCATTAACCTTCGCATGAGACAGCTAAATGGGGATAGGGGCCAAGCACTGGTGGAGAACGAACTTATCCAAGTCTCGGAGGCCAGCCATACCCTCCAGGGGTCTTAAATAAAAGCCCACTCTATCTGGATGCATTAGCTCCAGAGCTCTGAGGGCCCCAGAAAGGCCTGGGGTTCCAAACAGCTCCGCACAGGGCCCAGTAGAAGGAGTCTAGGGTGCTGGAGGGGGAGCCTGGGGCCTGGCCCAGGCCCCACTCAGGCAAGCGCCTGCTGATCTGTTTTGTAGCTTGAGGTTTTGCATAAGATTTTGTTTGGAAGATGGCTTCTGCTGCTAAAAATACAAAGTTTGGAAACTGCTGCTCTTAGAAGAGGTTTCTTGGCATTTTTGAGGGTTGGGAGCTGTTTGAAAGATTGTCTATCCTGTTCCTCCTGCCATAGGGAATTCCAGGACCTCTGTATCCTCACTGGCTAAGTGATGGTATTAGGTGACTTGAGGGGCACCCTTCAGCCCTGACCGTCTGGGAAGTAGCTTCATAGTAAGGGAGAGGGCAGCACTGGGGTGACCTCCTGTGGCACCCCACTGACTGAACTGCAACCCTCCCCTCTTCAAGCCTTAGTTGCTCTTCTCTGTCAAGCAAGAGGGTTGGACTGATGATCGCTCACGCTGGTTCTGCCCTAGGAATAGGAACCCAGTCTCCACCTGTGGCTACCCCTTCAAAAGAAGAGGTATCTTCTAGGCACTGGTCATTCTTCATGCCATTTTCTGGCCCCACCTTGGTGACCACCACTGTGAGGAAGCCAGCTACTCTCACAGTCCTGCTAAAAAGCCTAAGAGGCTGGATGGGTTCTATTCAGTTTGCCACAGGCTGGTTTTGGTTTTGAGGTCTAGTTTCTGGGAGTGACTATTTTTCTGCAGTGGCATATTTTACGGAGCTAGGTGCACAGTTTTCACCCATCCTCTGGGCATGAAAGATCTTTTATACAAGAAAGTATGAGCACTTTGTTGTATTTGAGGACTTTGTTGTATTTTTGTGGGTGTGACACAGGCCTTTATCATCTTCCCTTCTCAGTAGTATTTCTTGGGCCTGACCTCATTCTGCTAGTAGAAAAAAAAAACTTAAAACACTGAATTTGTAGCTTCCTGCTTCCTCTCTTAGTAGTAAAGTACAGCCACAATTTATTTGGAGAGAAATCAGGTATATTGAGGTGGCCTGGACACTCTGGCCATGTTGATTATCATTTGTTCTCTTTCTCTTGTGGAATGTTTCCAGGCTCCTTCCAAACTCTCTTTCAGCTTCTGACAAGGGAGGTTCTTGGTGGCAAGGACATGTAGGCAGGCATTTGGGGACTGGGAGGAGGCACTGTCCAGTCCAGGCATCCCTAGAGGGCTTGGAATGCCTTCTGGGCCACTGGTATAAAGGCTCTGAAGGGCCCATTTCACTGAGACTTTGCTTCTAAGCAGGTCCCACGTACATCCTCGAGGCTGTCCACGTGGGAATGGATCCTAACTATCTCCAGGGTGGGAGGCTGGGGTGGACATGGGGTCTATAGGCTGTCATTACCAGTAACATGAGCCTTCGATCCACTGAGCTGAACATCTGGGCTCACAGCTTCTGAGACAGATCAAATATCTGCTCCTGCTGGTAGTTTTTGTTGGGAGCAGAGTTGGGGGAGGGCTGAAAGGACTGAGATTGTTTAGCTTGGCCTCCTGGGTTCTGTCATGGTGTGGAAAGGGTATGGTTAGAAAAGAACAAAGCCCAAGAAGATGAATGATGCACAGGTCCTGGGTTTCTAGATGGGTAGATGTGTGCAGTTATTGCAGGCTCCAAGCAAAGACAGCAGCAGAGATGGCATGACCCCTTCTAGTTGAACTCCAGGGGAACTGAGCATCCCAAATGATGGGCTAAGGCTTTTTAAGTCCATAATGATGATAATAAAGATATCAATCCGAGCCATTTGGATTACTGTGACGGTGGGAAACTTATTTGGATACTAAATCTGTGGAGAGAGTGCATCTGGGACCATCAATTCTTACCAGTTTAAATGCAATGAATTGTATTTAGGGGATAAGTTTGTTAGGAGATTAAATCCCAGGAATCTCAGGTTTTCTCCAAGCCAGAAAGTCCTGCTTTGCATTCTAATGTAGAAACTCCTTTAGAAAATGTGTGTAATGGATCAAGGCAGTCATTACCTTGTCAGTGAATTAACAAAACTTGAGAGATTCCAAAAACATTTCCCCAAGTGTGCAGCTGAGATCTCCCAGCTGGTGGATAAGAAACAGCTTTATGAAGGAGTCTGGCAAAAGCAAGGAGCACTGAGAACTTTCTTTGTATTTACAGTTCTTTGGGGTTAGGTATGGAACTGTCCTGGGGGCTCCTGTGGCTACCAGAACATGCCTCACACCCACGAGCTGCTACTAGGGCCCCAAACCCAGGCTTTTCCCCATGTATCTGAGCAGATACTGATTTCACAGTTGGGAAGACCTGGGTTTGAATCAGGCTCTGCCATTTACTGGCTCTGTGACCTGGGGCAAGTTACTCTGCCTCTTTGAGATTGGGATTCAGGAAGATGGTATTCTCCTTCCCATCTCAGTTGGGCTAACTTGATTAGGCCTGAATCTCAGGGTGAGCCCTTCTGCCTCTTCTCACAGCTCACATCCGACCCATTCACAGATCTTGTCACTTGTGTTTTCAGAATCTGATCACTGTTCACTCCTTGCCTGCCACTGCCTGGCTAGTCTCTCACTGGTGTCCTGACTTGCTTCCTGCCCAGCTCCTGTCCCCAGTTAACCAGAGTCCTCTGCTCTCCAAGCCTGTTGAGAGGACAGCTCATGTTGCTCATCTGCTCAAAACTCTTGAGTGTCCTTCTCACTCCAAGGAAAAGCTACATTCTCACTGCAGCCAGAGGTGGATTTACAGCAAGACAAGTGTCACACATATGTCTGGATCCCTCAAGCTCCTTTTGTGGTACTAAGTAGTCTGGTATTTGCAATCCTACTTCATTTTTAAGGATTTCCCCTCATATTTCTTAAGCTTTAGGTTTTCCCCAAATCTGGGTCCACCCCTCACAGTGGCCTACAATGCCCTGCACTGTCTGACTCCTGAGCTTCTCTGACTTCATTTCCCACCTCTGGTCTCTCACTCACTCTGCACCAGCCACACTCACACTCTGCCATTCCTCAGCCTTGCCTGGCACACTCCAGCCTCAAAGCCTTTGCACAAGCGATTTCCTTCATGCGGAAGGCTGGTCCCCTTACTGTCTTTAAGGCCCACTCCCTCACCACCTCGGGGCCTTATTCAAACATAATCTCACTGAAGCCTTTGCTGACCACTCTCTTTAAAGCCACACCCTCAACCTCACTCCCTCTTCTCCTTACCTGCTAATCACCACCAGCAAGCTGTGCCCTTTACTTACTTATTGTGTGTCTTTCCCACTGCCTCCCCCATTGGATTGCAAGCTCCATTGGGGCTAACCATTTGGTCTCACTGGTTCAAGCTGCTCTCCTAGTTCAAGAAACAGTGGTTGACGCACACAGTAGGTATTTGTTTGTTTGTTTGTTTTTATGAGTGAATGAATGTCACAAGTTTCTTATGGCTTCCAGGGTAGCTGGGCCTTATTCGGGGTCCTAGAGCCTCACAGACCCTGCTTGGAGACTGAGTTGTCCTCCTAGAACCCTGGCTTGGGGTGGGAATCAGTGATATGGAAGATCATATACCAGGAGGTGTTGAGGGGCTTATTTTGTTCTTGGACCCTGTTGCTGCAGCCCATTTGCCCTCTTCTCCCTGGGGCTTGGTACATCTTTATGTGGAGGAGTTGTCAGGACGCAGCCAGGTGCCAGCTAGACCTGTGAGACAGTTGCTCGGTGCTTAGAAGCCTGATTCTCCCCTATCTGAGGGCTTGAAGCACCCAAGCCTGGACCTTTGGAACCCCAGTACCTATTGTCACCTCTGCTCGATTTTTCAGCAGGTATCCTGTGAGTCTCCCTGCTGACAGTGTCTGCTGCCTGAGACCTTCCCAGTATCGCTCCCTCTTGGGAATAAGCATTGCTTTTCCTGAGATTTTTCTCCCAGAATGTCCTCCTCCCTGCACATAGACACTTGGTCACGCCTGCACACATGCATAAGGACACACTGTGATGCATATCCTCACATGCACACACCCTCTCCACACACATATAGCTCTCTCCTATCTGACCTTGCTCAGAAGCCAAGGACACATACCCTGAAGAAGTGGCGCCAAGCCAGGGAATCCTCTGGATGAGTGATGATGTTTTCTTTTTCTCCTCAGCCATGGGCCATGCAGTTCCCAGCATGGTGACCTCACAGCAGCAGCCTCTTGTCCCCTCCCCAAGCCAGGCAACTGTCTGTCCTTTCCACTCCCTCCTTTAGGGGCAGGAAGAGGGATGTCCAGGAGGGTTTCCACTCTAGCATTTCAGGAAGGGACAGTAGTCCTGGGCTGGAAACCAGGCAAGCCAGGTCCTGGTGGTCACTCATTTCTTGTGGGCCTTTGGGTAAATGGATCTACCTCTCTGGTCTTCCAGAGGAAAACTGGAAACCTTCCTGCTTTCAAAATTGACTTGCCAAAATTGACACCATGGTGTCTTCTGTCAGGACAGGAGGAGGAAGAAGGGGGCATTAGGAAGAATCCACAGGTGGGGTTCTGTCAGGAGGAAAGTAGGGTGTCAGGAGCACTGCAAAGGCAGGGAGATGCCCTCATGCTGGACCTGTTTGTTTCTTCTTGAGAGCAGACACCCTCTATTGCCCCCCAGGAGGTAGATTCAGCCAGAGGAAAGAGATGTTGAGATCTTGCCTGCTTTGGAGTGGTAAGGAGCACCTTGTCAGGGGAGACATGTTAGCATTTATTGGTCAGGTGTTGGGTACCTTTAGTGATAGACTATAGTGGAGTTGGATTAGATCTGGATTTAGCCAAGAGGGTCCCAAATTTCCAAACCTCTTCTTTGAGGAGCCAATGCCCCAGTGGCCAGAGCCTAGAGAGACAGTAACAACTCTGGCCCTGTTGTATCTTCTTGTCTTTGTCCCAAACATCCTTTTCCCCAGATTCTTCCTCTTCTTGGACTGAGTTGTCCACAAACAGATGGCCAGCACCAGGTCACCCCATGGTCCAGAGGGTACCAGGATTGCCTCCCTCCACCTCCCAGGGGGCCAAAAACTTCTGTGCTTTACCCCTACTTGAACCTCAGAGGGATGGTAGGCAGAGGCCCATGGAGAAGTCCATTGCAATTGTCCATCAGATGAGTGTGAGCCACTGCCTTGAGGGATGTACTGCATGTGTGCTTGATGGTGCTTCATGCCTCTTAGCCCATTTCCTCATCTATAAATGCACTGCTAATAACAGGCTGGAGATGAGGCCTGTTAAGCTCTTAGCATAGGGCCTGGCACTTCCTAATTACATGGTAAATGTTGGCTCATTCATTCACACCTGCTCTAGATTCTCTGGCCCAGGCACTGTGGGCACACAGCTCCTGCCCTTTTGGTGTCCAGGCTATCTGGGGAAGTGGGGCAGTATGAATGCTCCTGGAAAGGATGATGCCCAGGGGTTGTATGTCTTTGCGATTATGGAGAGAAAACACCTGATGGAGCTGGTGTCAGAAAGGCATTCCTGGAAGGTATGTCTAAGAGGACTCCGAAACACTTAGGCAAAATCTGGGGTGGGGTGAGAGTAGGGAGAAAGAACAGTGTTTGGGCAAAGAGGAACAGCATGAGCAGAAGTCAGAGGCCTTGGCAGCTAGGTGTGTCCTGTGCTGGGGCAGGCGGAAGGGAGGTGTGCAGGAGTGTGAGAGGGGCATGCAGCAGTGCAGAGGCTGTAGTGAGCACTTGTGTTTCATTGTCTGCAGGAGGGGGACAGCCACAATGTGTAAGTCATAGGGTAACTGTGAAGACAGCTACTGTGCATGGCACATGGGGTGAGGTTTCTGTTCACCCTGTGATCGCTTGCAGCTGTGTGGGGCAGGAAGAGTCTTTGGATGTCTAAGGCATTGTACAGATGACACTGACACTGTGTGCTCAAGCATCCCCTGCCCTCTTCTCAGGACTCCTGATGCAGGCAAGAAGACATGACCTTGGGCTCCAGAGCTCCATCTCTATGGCTTATTCCCACTTGGCCTATAAAACACCAAGGTCAAGGTGGTGTCTGCCGGTCTCTTGGGCTTATGAGGTTAGTGAGGGAAAGGAAACTCATCAACCTGCTTTCCTGGTAGGAAAGCTGGCCCCAGGGGAGCAAGGAGGCTAGGGAAGAAGGTGGCTGCCATGCCAACCTCTTCCCAGGTAGCCCAGTGTGAGCAAGTCCTGACTTAGGGCCAATGACATTCAGAAAACACCATCTCTCCCTCCCCATCTTTTCTTCTTCTAAACTCTTCCTTTCCTCTTCTTTTTTATTCCCCTGTGTCCATATCTCCTTTCCTTGAAGCTACTCATGGGGGCTAGGCACCTGGAGGTAAGTTCTTCTAGGAGTCCTCATGCTCCCCCATCAGAGATGAAAGCAGAGGCCCAAGTGCAAATGCCTGCAGGGCTCAGCAGGTGATGACAGTGAACACAGTGGTGGCTGTGGAAGGCAGTGGTAGGATTAAAGGGGGTGCCTGCTTCGGCTCTGGCTGGCTGTTGCCCTGTGGTTATAGGCTCTGGTTTTTCACAAACAGCCAAACAGTTGGACTTGGTGTGGGGACAGAGATCCTGCAAGGGATTATCCCCTGCCTGGGGTCAAAGGAGGGCCCAGCCAGCTGCTGGATCAGACATCTGCATCCCTCCTCCAGAGCTTACTCAATCACTTGTATACATGAGGACACCCCAGATTGACCTCTTGCCTCCTGGCTAGAGAACTGCTGAGCTGTGAGATCACTTGAGAGTTGCTCATCCAAGTATCCTTCATTCATTCCTTCAATGAAGATTCAAGCAGCTACTCAGTGCCAGGGTTCAGAAATTCAGCACCGAATAGGTAAAAATACAAGAATATTCCTGAGAGGATTGACTGTATCTTCTGAAGCTCAGAGGTGTCTGTGAACAGGGAATCAAGGTCCCTTTCTGACCTGGAGAATTCCTGGGGTGGGAGGCCCATGGAGACCACTTATGCCAGCTTGAAAGGGTGGTGGTGTTGGGGTGGAGGGATGAGGAAGTCCTGTGCTCCCTCCCAGTGTCTGAGGTCTGAAAAGGTAGGTGGAGGACCCTGGTGTTTTAGGGGCTCCAGCTGCTGATGTAGGAAGGAGAGAGGAGGCTCTGGAGTGGCACAGGTGACTTCGCAGCCCAGCAAAAACTCTGAGCCTCTAGTGGACTGGACAGAAACTCCCACGGTCTCTGATGGTCCAGGATGAAGCTCTCACCAATTATGTGTAGAGCCCAATACAGACTCAGCATCAAAACAAAAAACCAACAAATCCCCAAAACCTAGTATGAGTAAGAGTAAGCCAACCTCTTCTCATCCGCATCATCATGAGAGGGCAGCAAAGACACTTGGCTTTTCTCCTTCCTCCTGCCCATCCACACCCTGCAAGAGTAAGGGCCCAGAAGAGGGCAGGGTAGACTGCTTGGGACTGGGTATGAATTGGAAAGTTTCAACTGACTGAAATCAAGTTTGAAATCAAACTGACAAGCTTGTTACTGGCTGGGCCTTAGTCGTTGAGATGAGAAAGGAGGATTTGACAGGTCAGTTAGATAAAAACATTTCATGTTTCTACATTGCAACGAACTACGTAAACCTTAGATCATTCATTTTTAAAAACAATATACAGTGTTCTCTGGGTATTAGGCCCTCTTCTATGTCTTTACATCTACTAGTTCATTTAAAACTCAAGCCTGGGCTGGGGACATGGCTCAGTGGCACCGCGCCTGCCTTGCAAGTGCAAGGTCCCAAGTTCGATCCCCAGTACCAAAAAAAAAAAAAAAAAAAGAATAAAACTCAAGCCTACAAAGAAGTTCCTATCATTACCTGTTTTACAGATGAGGAAGCTTTGGCATGGGCAGGTTAAGTGACTTGTCAAATGTCACACAGCTGGTGAACAGCAGAGTCAAGACTCAAATTTAATAATATGCCATCATATGTGTTAGCAAGTTTAGTAACATGCAGGCTGGTTGGAGCATAATGGGCCACTTTGAGGCCCATGACTTGCCTATGAATTGGTAACCCTGTGGAGAACTCAACAGTGGACTCTCCACTCCACTCTGTGCAGACTGAAGCAGTCCATGGTCAATTTATTCATGGAATCTCATAGATGGGCAGGATCTCAGTCAGGTCCACCCTTGCCTTTACTTTATAGATAGGAGAGCTAAAGACTTGCCATGGTTAATGTGGTTCAGGCCTCTTGCCCATTGCTCTCAATGGATTCTCACTTGAATTTACATTCTGGGAACCAAGCAGCTTGAAGGATGAGACTGCTGCTGTGAATCTGAAGGGAGGGGAGAGAGTAGGGCTTTGTATTGCAAGCGGGGGTTCTTCTTGTCCGACGTGTGGGCCATCCTGGATTGGAACCAGCAGTCTGGGTAAACCCTCTTCTGTGAGGTGTCACAGATGGGCGCTGACCAGGGTGCTGAACCGATATGCTGCTTTCCTAATGGCCTCACTGAGGGAACAAAGAACTGGAAGGGAAGGGAATCCTCATATTTTTGTCACTCAGAGCCTCCATGACCGTTTTGCTCACCGTTCACTGGGAAAGCCTTGGGACTTAGAGCCAGGATTTATGTCGTCTATGTTGCCCTGGGAAACTCACTCTCATTCATCTGCTTGGGCTTGCGTTTTCACTTGTTCAGTGGGAAAAAGTAGATTTCATCCTGTTTACTCAGAAAGCCAAAGTGAGCAGCACAGGGCCCAGGTGACAGAGCCCTGCACCCCAACCATGCAGCCCAAACTAGCCTCTTAGAAGCTCAATCTCATAGAGGGTTTCCAGGATGTTTCCTTCCCTGCAAAATGAAGGTCTGCTGGTGGTTTCAAATGCTCATTACCTGGGGGCTGCCAGCAGAAGTGTTCCAGAATCTGGGAAACACTGTGAATAGGATCAACTTCGGAGTCTAAGACCATCTTGGGGATTACTCAGCACCTTTCCTTTCTCACACAAGTCCTGACTCATTTTCAGCTTCTGGCATAGGTTTTGCCCAGCAACCCATGATCTTCACTGGACCAGGGTGTGAGGCCTGGGCACAGCAGTTCTACTAAAAAGAGCATTGACTTTGGAATGAAGACGCTGACCCAGTTCTAACACTCTTCAGGGGTATGTTCAGCACCTTGAGTAAGGCTGCCAGCAGTGTTTATCTTTAGTTTGTGAGGTCTATATGAGATAAGAAGCATACTGTGGGCACCAGGTAAATGCTTATTTCCTGCTCTGAGGTTGGCCCAAGTCTCTCCTTGAGCCCCATCCTTACCTCAGTAATATGAAGTCAGTAATAATAGCAGCTGGCACCCACTGAGCCCTCCACTACCTGCTATTTTTTTTTAAATCTTTTTTCCCCCACTACCTGCTATTAAGTCACATTGTTTGGTGGGAGCCTGCACCAATCCTGTAGACAGGGGTGATGGTCATTTTACAGGTGAAGGCCACATACTGACAAATGAGTGCTCACAGTCAACCCATGCCTACCTGACTGAGCAAATTATCAGATCTTTTCAAACTCTTTCTGGTCTAGAAAATAGAGGTAATATCTCATTATTGTTATGATTTGAAGAGACAATGTATGATATTTAAAGACACACACAAGACACATGTGAGTGATCTCCAGGGGTAAGGGAATGGAGTGGATACTGGGGGTTCAGTCAGGGCAATCTTAAAATGAGAAGGTTCTTGCATGCACTAATCATATGTACCATCAACCAAGGAGACTGATTGGCTCAATTATTTGCCTCTGATATCCAGGTGAAGGAAAAGGACAGTTTCTCAAACTTTAACATATAGATTAATCTCACGGAGAATTTGTTGAAGTGTAGATTCTCATTCAATAAACTGGGGATGGGCCTGAGATTCTGCATTTCTAACAAGATCCCAGGTGGTGGGACCACTCATGATCTCAGTCATAAGCATGCAGTCTTCCCTTCTAAATTCACAAACTTGTGTGAGCCTATGAATCACAAGAGGAACTCATAAAAAAATGGATTTGAAGGCTGTTTGTGGATATAGATTGGGGCCCAAGATGTGCTAATGTGCACTTAGAGCAAGCATCTGAGGAGAGGCTTGGGCAAGTAGGGGTGTGGTACCCATCTATATAGTGGGCCATGATGCAGAAACAGGAGACTGGTTTACCAGACCACTGTCTCAATATACCTTCCTGAAGGCAAGGGTGGGAAAAAGAGAACAAAGACATTTTCCCAGGATCTTAGGGTTTGAGAGATGATGCAGACAATCAATTGCATTTAACTGAGCCTTGGACTTAGACCTGAGCTGAAGGAGGTCGAAGTGACAAAATGAAGGGCATCCACTTTCTAGTTAGTGCACATGTAGGTAGTTGCTCTGTGACTCGGAGTTCCTACTCCTCAGATAATGACATGATTGCACTATTCTCTGGACCCTAATCTTTTTTGGCTAAAATATTTACTACAGTTGAACCCCAGAACTAATACTTCAGCAGGAGCCTCCCACTCCCTCATTCCTCTGACCCCGTCATACTGCGACTCACAGCACATACAGTATGTGCTCATCTTGAACATAGCCGCCACCTGGCCACCTAGTGTCATTATACTGAGCTGCCAGCCTCATGAACCTCTATGCCAGGCCTGACTTTTTACTTTGCACACCCATCAGCACTGCCACCAGTGGAGAGTATTCAAGACTTCCTGGAACTGGTGTTTTTTGCATCGTAGGCTCTGCCCTCACTACCCCTCACCACCAACCAAACCACCTTTGCCTTTTGATCCACCTTCAGGGACAGATTCAGGGCAAAGCATAGCTGGAGTGAATTGTGTCAAAGAAGGATGGCGCTGAGATCCCTGCTTGTGAACCTCTCCTTTGAAACAAAAAGTCAACAGTGGCCCCCAAGCACGGAAGGTTTAGGGCACAGAAAGTTGGGGATATGCATGTGGGAAATTCTTTGATGATGGGACCTGCCTATATTGGAACTGCACCAAAGTGGACAAGATTAGGTAGCAGAGAATATGAACTGCACCACAGATTCTACTTTTCCTCCTGTGAAGAGAGACATGGATCAGTAACAAAATGTCATTAATGACAGGTCACAAGAAAAGCTGGGTTCCAAAGAGTGACGCTGCGTGGGATTTGCTACCCAATTTTCAGCCATGTGCCCACAGGGGCTGGACATCCAGCACAGAAACACAGCCTTCATTTTGAGCAACATACATTCTTTGAGTCAAGGTCTTAAGAGACTCATGACTTACAATGGCGGCTCAGAGAAGTTCAAGACTGTGTAGATAAACACAATGAGAAACACAGCCAGCTTTAAGGATTTGGAAGGAGAAGCTACGAGGGATGTAGGCCAGTGCATCCCAGGAATAGTATGAGTGGTCTATGACAATTCAGCACCAAAAGGCAAGGATTTACAATTAGACCTTTATTGTACTTGTAAGTCACTCAATAAACAAATGAAATTTCAAACTGAGCAAGTGAGTCTCACTAGATCTGAAAAGGTCACACAGGAACTTCCCTAGAGAAAGGATCTGTCCTGTATCACATCAAGCCCACATCCCTAAGTCAAACCCTTCTTCTGTAACTTGCTGGCCATGGCTACCATCAAAGCCATGATCTGCTCCCCCAGGGTGAGTGGCTCTGGTTATGCCTTACTTGGCTTAGGTCAAAAGATTTTTTTAAATGGACAAAACCACAATGAAATATGACTTGATACCCAATAGGTATAAGTAAGAAGATGAAGATTAACAAGAGATGGCATGGATGTAGAGAAACTGGAATATACATTACTGATGGGAATGTGAAATGGGGTGGGTGCTGTGGAAAACACTCTGGCAGTTCCTCAGAAAGATAAACTGCATTACCATGTGGACCAGCTAGTCCACTCATTAGTGTATACCCAAGTGAAAACATGTGCCCACACAAAAACTTGTACATGAATGTTCACAAACAGCATCATTCATATATTCATATTCACAGACAAAAAGTAGAAATAACCCAACTATCCATCAAGACAAATGGAGAAACAAATATGATATACCCAATCAATGAATTATTTGGCCATAAAAAGGGAATGAAGTACAGATATGCTGTAATATCAATGAATCCTGAAAACAATATGCTAAGTGAAAAAAACTAGACACAAAAGGCCACATATTGAGTGATTCCATTTATGAGAATTGTTTAGCATAGGAAAATTTTTAGAGATAGACTAGGGGTTGCCTGGGTCTGGGAGAGGGAAAATGGAGGTGACTACTAATGGATATGGAGTTTCTTTTGGGGGTGGTAAAAATGTTCAGGAATTAGATACGGTGATGGGTGAACAACACTAAATATATTACAACCCAGTGGGTTGTACATTTTAAAAGGGTGAACTTTATGGATGTGTGAATTCTCTTTCTATAAAACTATTTTTAGGGCTGGGGATTTAGCTCAGTAGTTCTGGTGCCTGCCGTGCAAGCCCAAGGTCCTAAGTTTGGTACAAAAAAAAAAAAAAGAAAGAAAAGAAAGAAAAAGTAAAAGTGAAGAGAGAGAAACTGGCTCTGCAGAGGAAGCTTGGGCAGAGGAAGAGGAAAAGCAAGATAAAAGAACAGCCTGGAGAAAGCAGGGTCACCTACCATGAAGAAAGCCACAATAACAAGTTTTTCTTGGTATCTGTGTCCTTTTATACCGTTCAAATCTCAAAGAAACCCGTGAAACTTCTACATATGGATCCTGACAGGTGGTAATGGGATCCCACGCCTCAGGCTGACGTCAAATCTAGGCATCCTATTGAAAACCTACTCGAGTTCCTGTGAGAAGTCCTCATGCAGGACTGTGGAAACTGTTCTGAGCAGATTTTCTAGGTTTTGTAATTAATAGGTCATGCCTACTTCCCCAGCCAGCTTTGCCAAACCCTAATCTCCTATCTCATTTCTCCCTGACACAAATCACCGTAATTTTTCACAGGGGAGTATTTTGAGGGGACTTAATGGCAATGTCTTTCTGTATCAATTTTTAAAAAAAATTCAGTGTATTTTTTGTCATATCACACATATGTATCTTTTTAACCTTTGTTATTAGGAAATCTAAATGGCAAATTTATTGTTTAAATGTTCTTTTCCTTGAGTCAAACTCCCCAAAGTTACCTAACTTTCGTGTATCTATTTCTGACAGTGTTTAATCTGATGTTCCTTTAAATGCTTAAAAAAGTTTTCATGAGCAAATTGCTCCAGACCCTTTTGGTTGCAGGTTAGTCCAATTTCAAAACAAAAGCAACATTCTATCCGCCTGCCGTCCCTTGAGAAGGTTATGAGTAGTGATGGCATTAGTATCTTTGCCCATTCTCTAAGTCTTTCTCCAGAAAAGCTTCAGAGTGGCTAGTCCCATTTCTGGAGTCAGTTACTGCAGGGGACTGCCAGGTATGTGCTTAGTGAGCCCCCTTGGGCCTGGCCCTGCTGGACAGGCAGTTCTCAGTTACAGAAACCCCCCTAATGGTTATCTCAAAATGACCATGGTAGCCTGCTGCTGCCTACAGGTAGATGGTATGTCCTAATTTGGGGAATGGAATCCAGGGAGCTGAGGAGTAAAGGACCCACACATGGCTGAAATGTGGACTGCCAAGTGCTTCAATCTTGTGCCTCCTGGCCTGGTACTCTCTCCACTGCAGCCCTGGAGCTCAGCATTGCTCATACTTGATAGACTCAGGCTGCAAAGGACCTGGAGAATGCCAAAGGCCAGAGGGTTCTGGACACAGGACATATCCACAAGAGGCTGGACTCTGCTCCTGAAGTTCAGTACCACACTCCACTCAGATGGAGCTTGTGTTCCTGTCCAAGCCCCAAAAAGGCCAAGAAACAGTTACTGACTCTGTAGCTTAAGTACTACATAAAGCCCTGAACTTTCACTCTTTTCCTCTTGCTCCAGGTCCTCAGGGATGTTGCCTTCCACAGGAAGAAGCCCCAAAGTGCTTTAGAGCAGGAAAGGCACCTCCTATGTCCCACGATTTCCTTAGGGTTGCTCAGCAAGTTATGGGGCAAAACTGGCCTCTGGGTCTGCCCTGTTTATTCCTTTTTATAGGCCATGGCTGCCCAGGCACAGACAGTCCCAAGAGGATGGGTCCAGAACAGGAGCAATATAGGTATTTTGCGCTCACCAGAATACTGCAGTCTTCCACAGTGTGCCTGTTCTGGTCAAAGTCACTGTGTGGCCTATGGCATTTCCAGTCACACATTTCCATCTACATAACTTGACTAAGGTCCATTTTAGTGATGTCAGGATCAACAACAACTTATGAAAGGAAAGTCTGAGAAATAAGAGTGGGCCTTGAATAGAAAAATAATCATTTAGCCCAACAAAGACTCAAATTTTGAAGTTCCATAACTGGAAGGAGCAGTGTGTTAATAAAGAAGAAAAGTGGGAAACCGGCAACATGAATTTTGTATTGACATTTGGTTCTTAATAACATCCAAAATGCGTTCTGTTCTTATAGTGCTGCAACTGGGGCTGTACTGGGTGAAAGGTGTGCTTTGCCAGAGTTTCCTGCAAGAACCAGGGAGGAGTTGTTGTTGAAACACACACCAAGTTCTCTTTGGGACCTAGGTACAGCCAGGTGGGGAGGTGCAGCAGGTGCCTTGTGTTAGAGAAGGGGCAAGGAGGCAATCCCAGCTGGTCTGCAAACACATGGGCAGAGTCCCTTGCCCCCAGCCTATAAGACCACGGCTGCTGGTGGGGCCAGTGGTGGCAGCTGTGGGAGAGTAGAAAGGAGGCTGGGATGTTACATTCTTGAGGCTTTCACAGGTACATGTCATCGAAACCCGGCGGAGGGAGATGGTCTGGGTTGGGCCTGGAATGGAAAGAGGGGCTGTGAGCTGGGGTGATGGAAGGCAGGGCACACAGGGCACGTGGCCTATGGGGCTTACAACCACACACTATCAGGGTTTGACTCGTGACTTTCACACTTTGGCTAAGTTACCTAATGCTTGGGGCCTCAATTTTCACATCTATTTGATGTGGATGGTACCATCTATCCAATGCGTTTCTGACATATTAACTCTGTGGTAGTTCCTCCTCCTCCTATGAGTCCTCCCTGGAGGAGAATTGGGGGAAGGGAGGAATGGAAGGATAAGGAGCTTCCTGAAGGGTCCAGGGAGGCAGCAGGCAGGGCCCAGAGGATATTCCTTTCTCTAAGCAGTCACAGGTGCTGGCAGTGGTAACTCTGCACTGGGTATCAGACACTTTTGCTGTTGCAATGCCAAGGTAAGCTGAGCTGTCATCAAGTCCTACTTCTCCACCATCTGAGTGGATACCTACCCAGAGGGGCTGGTCCCAATGGGTCCAAAGGGGTCAAAGCGAGCTCCTGGGGGAACTGCACCTGGAGGAAGCTGGTTTGGGAGACCTGAAGATGGGTCAATAAGTGCTCTTGGGAAGCCAGATCTCAAGGGGTCCACAATCATGCCACCTCTCCGGAACCTGAGGCAAGAAAGAAGATGAATAAGCAGCTGTGGCAGGGACTGCTCTTGAAGAATTGGTGAGGAAGGTGGGAAAGGACTAAGAATGACCAGGAGATCTATTCTGGATGGTCCAAGCAGACAGCCAGCAGGAAGAGAGCAAGAACAAGAGCATGCAAATAACATTTTCACTGGTGGGGGCCTGTGCTTTGGGTTCGCTAGGGCTCCTTAAGCCTGCAAAATTGAGATCTCTGCCATGTGCTACATACAAGAAGGAAAGCTGATCAAGAACAGGAGCTAGAGCTGGTCAGAGTCAATGCGAACTGTCACAGGCTCTGGCTCTGTGGGGCACTACCTCAGGCCTAAGGACTAACAATAGCATGGCAACAACTCAGCAGGCTAGTTCTTCCACTGTTCCCAGGGCCACGGGCTGGTTTCAGACTGTCTCTGGGAATGCCCAAACTGGGCTCCTGACAACATCTATCCCTCACAGAGTTCTATTTCCTAAAACTGTGAGGTCACTATTTGAGATGCAATGGAAATTTAAGTGATTTCTCCACTGGCTAAAAATGAGATGATAAATGCTGGGGTCACTTTGCAGCAGAGGTTAAAACAAGTTTAAATCATTCAGAGATCATAGGGCACAGCTAAGGCTGTGTAATAACTTTGCTGGTTGCAATGACAGGAGTCACAGGGACTAATGGGGCACTGAGAATCTTAGTCAAGTGAGGTAACCCCTGAGCTGCCTTGAGTCTGTGTTGTCCAACCCCGTGTGCTCTTTAACCTGCACTTCAGTAAATCCTTATGCATATCCTTCATCCAGGGAGGCTGCCATCCTTGACCTGGTGTGGGAGACTGAGAAATGACACTAGAGCTGACCGCCCCCCGGCCCCCGCCACCCCGGGCACTGAGTGTCCTGTTCGCTGCTCTGCGTATGGCAGAGCACAGAAAGTGTCAGTGACTTCCCAGCTGCTCAGCAACACTCCCCTCCTCCAGCTTCAAGGAAGACTGACGAAAGCTCTAAAATTAGAAGATGAGCTATGGTTGAAAGCCACAGAGTAAGTTATGTTGCTGTCACCTCTCCAGAAATACTCACCCGAAGGGGTCTAGGTCTTCTCCCCCGACAGCAAAGGGGCCCAGGGGATCAGACCTGAAACAAATAAGGGACAATTACTGCAAGTCTCAGAGCAGCTGGGCACCCAGGTTTCCAGGGGCCCAAACCTGACGCCTGTGGGGTCATGAGTGCACTCCCAGGCATGCGGACAGGGGAGATACCTGCATGAGAACACAATACAAGGGATGTTTCACAGTGGTCCTTGGTACAGATCAACACTGACTATATTACAAACACATGGAGAATCCCAGTTCTACAGAAAGTCAAAAATATCAACAGTGGTAAACTTCAGATAAATTGTATTCTATTCTTCACACAAGTTCTGAAACTTTGTAAAAAGACCCAAGAATTTTACATCAGAAAAATACTACTCTTAAACCAAAGCCAAAATCACAAAACTAAGATTTAAAAGCCTCCTAGGTGGAGTAAGAGGCATGAAGTCACATGCACTAGAACAGTGTTCTCAGCTTCTGGTTTCATTACAGTGCTGGCCTGGAGTTTTAGGACCACTGTACACTGTGTATATGTTTATCACTCTAGCCTGCTAGATGGCTACAGGCCACAAATCTCTAAGATTCTCTTTAAAGGAGAATATTTAAGAGATTTTTCCTTCATTGAGAATGCCTGAGCTAAAAGGAGTACAAATGAGTGTATGTTTTCTGACAAGAAATTCTGTATTCTTTCTAAGGTATACATATAAGATATAATCTATTTTTCAAAAATCTTATATACCTTCATATTCTGGCCTAATAAATTTATGCCTAGGTAGCTTTCTTCAAAGTATACAGAAATCAAATTAAAATATACCACAAAGACTTCTATTGGGGAAAATGGAATCTGCCCAAAAGGAGACCAGATAGGTACAATGTGGTATATCACTATGAACAGCCATAAAAACAACAGAAACAAAAGTCTAAGAGTGCTTTAAAAACTGCTTATGCTCTAGTATAAGTGTGGGAAAAGGGGTATTACCAAGAGCCTAGGGAAATCAGCTGTAAAGATGTGGGTGTATGTGTGGGGGTGGGGCATGTATGTATGAATAAAATTAGACAGAACAATACTAGAAGTGTAAACAGTGATAGTTACTCCTGGGGAGTTTCCTTTTTAAACTTTACAAAAGGGATATGAATGCAGCAAAATAAGAAAGACTTAGTATTTTAAAATGCATGCTTTGGAATCTGCTTGGAGCCCTGGCAAGCAACGCAAACATGACAGTTTTAGGGCACAGGCAGGGTCCTGCCAGACTAGGAAAGCCTCATATGCAGCAGTTAATGTGAGCTTACAGGTAGGAAGTCATTAATTAGAGAAATGGGAAGAAATCCAGAAGTAAGCGCTTCTCCAGACAGTTCCATTTAATAGGCTGGAAAAGATAATGCAATTTAGGTGGACAAGGACAGGCTGCCAAGGGAAGGAAATTTTTTCTGACCTGGGTTATCATCCTTTAGCCATGGTTCATGGAGCCAGGAGTCACTGTTTCTAGTGTCTGCCAACATCTGGCCTCTGGAGACAGGCCAGGTGGTACCTGAGGGCAGTGAGCATTTTACCAAACTTCATGAAGTGCCCCTGGCAAAGCAGCAGACACAGGGGCTTCTACTGGCTGTTAAAATGCCTGAGAATGAACAGCCTGACTGTTACTGAAATGTGCAGCCATTTCTACTTTTCTCGTTGGATGCCAGCTTGTGTAGTGAGTGAGAGGAAATAGAACAAGAAGACTACAAAGGCAGCTACAAGGCCCACATCAACAATTTGTATACTTCAAGCTGTCACAGCATATTTCTGTAGGCTCTCAACACAGATTCACTGCAACATACAAACACTTTTGGGAACTTATTATGCACATGCTTAGAACTCATTTAAAATAAAGAGCCCAGAGGTTCTGTCTTCCTCTCCATAGCTGTTTGTTGACCAAGTATCAGTCTTGGATGTACTGAATAAGGGCTCTAGGGATTTCAAAAATAATTTCTAAACTTCAGCTCCACTCCATCATCTGGTAATCAATTGAAGGGAAGAGGAATCCATTCTAACCCTTGAGGAAAACTGCAAGGCTGGGCCCACTGGGGCAGAATGTCCCTGCTGAAAAAGTAGCCCCACTAAAGGACTAGAGGGTGACCTTGATCACACAGTGTTCCTTCCTTAGGCATGCCCCTTTTGTCTTACATTAAATGACACCTAGGCACAGAAATTCAACTGATAATCTTCTAATAGTGGAGGTAGGCAGGCAAACTCGAAAGGTCTCAGGGATGAAAGGCAGAAAGTGTGTTCCAGATACGGGTTTGGGATTTTCTAGCTGGATGGCAGGGGCCTGTCATAAAATCTCTGCACTTCAGAGTCTTTTAAGATGTAAAATTTGAAAAAAAAACACAAAAAACCAAGATGTAAAATTTAACAGCAGCACTCACAGGGGCTGCTGTGATGTTGAACCACAGTTTTGATCATGAAAAGACTGGCTGACAGGAAATGCCAAAAAGAATGGACAAACAGCAACTGCCATTTACCAATAGGTTGCTTTGCCAGACATGTCAAATTTAGTTTTATTTTAAATTTACTTTTTAAAAGATTAATTTTTAAAATGCAATTTTCTGAAGGTAATCCATTCCCCAGTTTCAAGTTTCATGAGTGAAAAAGGATACACAAATCCATAGTCTTGGGCCAGGTATGTTTTGGAACTTAGAGGTTTTCATTTTAGTTTGGAAAATTTATCCCTTTCATCAACATATTTTAACACTTCCAAGCAAGACCAAGCTGCAATCAATATCCTAATATTTCTGCAAAATGCATGAATATTCACATTCATAGGATAGCTAAAGATACAAAGAGCTTCCTGCCATGTCAGGTTAGGTCTGCCACCAGTAAGTTCTGGCACCAACCTTATGAAACATTAGGTTTTCAGAGCTCTTTTGATTTTGAAATTGCAGACAAAAGAATGTGAATATGTAACTGTCAAAAAATCTCCAGTCCTTGTCCCCCAGTCCATTAGACAAATGACAAAAGTTTCTTGTATCTTCTTTCAAAGATACTCTGCAGACAGGAGCAAATATTATGTCTTCTACTTTTTAAATAAATGGATGTGCTGAGCTCCTCACACATGTTATCTTATTTCATCTTGGCAGCTGCCCTGAATAAGTTTCATTATCTTCTCTATTTTAAAGACAAGGATAGCAGGGCTCAGAGAGGCAAGGTTTCTTACACAAAGCCACAGATATCTGTAAATAGCAAAGACAGGAATCACGCCATACCTGCCTATAACTCCAAAATTCATCCATATTCTTTTACGTGGGTGTGTTGAGACTTTACCTTTAATGTGATTTTTATTATGTTTACATTTATCATTTTATTAATGGTTTTCCAATTGTTTCCTCTATTTCTTATTCCTGTTTTTTCCTTCTTCTTATTACCCAATTTAAATTTAATGTGTTTTAGGCTGGGGATTTAGCTCAGTGGTTTCGCCGCCTGCTGAGCAAGCGCAGGGACCCGAGTTCGATCTCCGGTATAAAAAAAAAAAAAGTAAATTTAATGTGTTTTTCACTATTTGTTTATACATATTTTGTAGTGGTGCTCAAGAGATTTAAATATATGTAATTTTTCATTCTCCTTAGAAATAACATTTTGCCATTTCATGTGTAATGTAGAAACCTTACCAGTGCACATAGATCCCCTCAGTTTTTCCTTTTTGTGTTACAGCTGTTACATACTGTAGTGCTTTGAGAATCCCACCACACACTCATAACTTTTGCTTTTAACTATAAAACATATTTTAGAGAACTCAAGGGAACAGTTTACTATATTCACCCATGTATTTCCCATTTGTTGCTCTTCTTTTATTCCTGATACATGCTTCTATCTCATATCATCTCCCCTCTGAAGAACGACCCTTTATAATTTTTTAGGAAATCTGTTCAATTCTCTTAGTATCTTTTCACTAAGATAATCTTAATAACCTTCAGAAATGAAAGTGAAATATTCATTGGATAGAATTCTGGGTTGGTAATTCTTTTCTTCTCCATAAGAATATTGTTTTACTTCTTTTTGGTCTCCATGGTTTCTGATGAGAAAGTTGCAATTACATTCTTATTCCTCTATGAGCAATATGTTTTTTCTAGCTGTGTTCAAGGCTTTGTCTTTAATTGTTGGCAGTTGATATGTTTAGGCATGGATGTCTTTAGGTTTATCCTATTTAGGATTTGCCAAGCGTTCTGGATCTGTTGGTTGATTTCATCTGCCAAATCAATGAAGTCAGCCATATTTAAATATTTCTTCTGTATTGTACTCTTTCTCCTTTCCTTCTAGGCTCCAATAGCACCAATGTTAGACCTTTTGTAACTGATCCACGGGTTCCCAAGACTTTATTTCTAAATCTTTTTTCTCAGTTATTCAGTTGGGTAATTTTTATTGATCTATCTTTAAGTTACCAGACTCTTCGGTAAAATAAATTGTACTATAGATTCAATCAAAAGTTGACACCTGACTGAATGAATTTCCATTTCCATTTAGTTCTTCTTCGTATCTTGTTTATTTGCTGAGATGTTCTATCATTCAATTAATTTCAACATGTTTGCCCTCATTTCTTGTATACTATTTTTATAATATCTAAGGTTTTTGTCAGATAATTCCAACATCTGTGTCATGTTGGTATTGGCATCCATTGATTGTCTTTTTGTGAGCTGAAATTTTCTTGGTTCTTTTATGTTCAGTAATTTTGGACTTTATCCCAGCTACATGGAACATTTCATTGTAAAGCATATGGAGAATCCTGGTATTTTTGTTTTAGCAGGCAATCAACTCAGTTGAATTTGACCTCTAAGTTCTTGTTTCAAGGTCAGTTCTGCTTCTAAAGGCTTTGCAGTAGTATTAAGAACTGTACCATGTATGTGCTATCCAATGGCCAATCTGAGACCCAGACAATGGGCTACCCTGCAGTTCCATTCTCAAAGTGTTTGATATACTATTTGGGATCAGATCCACTTAGGCACATTTTCTCCCAAACAGCTTTTGAGTAAGGTTAGGTGTCCCTAGACAACTTTCTGAGATTCCTTCTGAGGACCTCCCTCTCTATGATCTCCTTGGTACTATTTCCCTTAAGACACGGGGTGGTGGGGTGGTGGTCCCATTTCTGGTCCTTTGCCAAAAAGCAAATTTATTTACCTGGCCCATCTATGTGTTTTCCATGACTTCTTGTGTCCAGAATCAAGTGGAATGAGCATAAAGGGAGGAAAAAAACCTACAGTGGGTTGCTCTTGAGACCACAAGTCCTCTTATTGGAAAGGAGGGCCTGTCTACCTTAGTAGTAGTGTCTGCACATTGCCACAGGCTGAGGAAAAAGAAAACAAACACAGGCGGTCTTTCCCAGTCTCTCTGGGCATTAACTGACCCCTTTTGTATTCCTTTAGCTTGAAGTACAGTTACCCAGCACCCACCCATGCCAATGGCTCCTTCCTTGAGTTCAGACTGGAGGACATTAGAGGGATATAGTGGTGTATTTACCACCTATTTGGTGGTACTTCAAGCTCTGGTCTTCTCCAATATGCTTCCTGTCTGAAGACTTTTTAGACGGATATCTCACACATTTGGTATGAAAGCTAGGATGGAGTGTGCTTATTGTAGACCAGATTCACCTTAATCAGTGCAGACCACAATATGGCTGCTGGTCTTTACCTAAAGATGATCACTGGGGGCAAGCTCAGCACTATGTGTGCCCTCCAGGTTTCTCTAGACATAGTGGCTGTGATTTCATGGAGGACTCTGCAGCAATGACCTGAGTTATACCCAGATCTAATTCCTCACCCTACAGCACTGACTCACCTAGGATTGCTGCTCAAACTGCCATGTGCACATGAATCCAAGGAGGATCTATCTTGCTAAAATGTGAGTTCTAACTCAGAAGATCAAGGGTGGGACCTGAGTCTGCATTTCCCATCTCACGCGTAATGGGACATCACTTGTCTGGACATTATAACCTTCTAGGCTCCTTCTTAATCAAGGTACAAGATTAGCTGTGAAATTATGGAAGTCTGAGTTTATTTACCTTGTTCTGTCAAGTATGGAAATGTGGGATCAGGAAAGTGGAGATGCTTATAACTGGAGAAGAGTATGAGTACATATACATGTATAGCATCTGCCACAGCACCCTGAGCAAGCAGGGAAATCACCCTTTCCTCCTCCCTACCCTGAGGATATCCTCAGTTCAAAGGCAAGCCAGGGGCTGTGTAGGGCTCAGAAATACTGCAAGTAGGTTAAATAAGCAAAGATTTTTAGAAGAAATAAAATGTGCATAAATCATATAGTAAAAAATTATAAATCATTCAGAAAATACAAATATTAGCATAATTTGACTTCACCGTAATTTTTATTTTTGCTACTCTATCTCAGTCTTCTTTCATTAAGTATGTTTTTATCCAATTATAATTTCAGGTCCTAGTGATTTTCTTCATGTAGGACTACATTTCTTAAGTTATCTTTGCTACTAACTTTTTTAAAAAAATAGAATGTATAAGTACTTTATTCTTTTTTTAAATTAGTGCATATTGTTTATACAGATTAATAAGTTTCATTTTTGGCAGATTCACACACACACATAACATACTTTGATCATTTTCACCCCCCATCACCCTCTTGCCCTGACCTCTTCCCTAAGTGCTATAAACTTTTTTAATAGCAAAGTGATATTCACTTTTGTGAAGCAAATCTCTAAAATTTACTTTTTTCTATTGTTTCTTTTTTTTTGTACCAGGGATGGAACTCAGGACTTTAGGCTTTCGAGGCAGGCGGAGCTAAATCCCCGGCCCCTGATACTGTTTCTGACATGAGTGTTCAAATGTGTAACTATAAACAACGCTGTCACTAATAACTTTCATGGACTTTTTGCTGTGTTGGAAATTAACTGTCACCATCTGCTGCCCCATGGTTATATGATACAGCACTAGAAGCAGATAACTTATTTCCTTGGTCAACAGACACAAAGAAATCCTGCTCATGGGGCTGGGGATTTAGCTCAGTGGTTCCACCGCCTGCCTCGCAAGCAGAAGGTCCCGAGTTCGATCTCTGGTACCAAAAAAAAACCCAAAAAAACAAAAAAACAAAAACCAAAAAAACCCCAAAAAACAAAAGACTATAGTTCTTAAAAGAAAAAAAGAAATCCTGCTCAGGAGCCTCACTGTACCTGATTTTGATGTGAGATTGGGTCCTTCACACTAATAAAGTTTAGAGAGGATTTTCAACTGAGTTGGCACAGTAGTGGGCTGAGTCTTGGGAATCTTGGGAGAGGAAATGTTTGCATTTGGAGGCCAAATGGTAGACTGTGGTAGGCAGAATTTGGCCCCTCTCAAGATTCTAAACCTACTAATCTCTGGAACCTGTGGAAGTGATGTGAAAGCACTCTTGAGATTGCTTTGTTATATGGCACAGCTGACCTAAAAAAGGAGTAATTATCTGGAGTCTGTAACAGCAGAAAACTTTCTCAGGCTGGTGGCAGAAGAGGGGACTTGGGTTATGAGAAGGTCTTGAAACATCATTGCTGGTTCTGAAGATGGAAGAGGCCACACGAGAAGAAATGTGGGAGGTCTTAAGGAGTTAAGGGAAATGAATGTGACCTTAGTCTTAGAACCAAATGAAATGAATTCTGCCAGTGATCCAAATGAACTTAGAAGTAAACTGTTTCCTAGAATCTCCAGAAAAGATTGTAGCCTTGCTGAAACTTTGGTTTTGGTCTTAAGATACCCTCAGCAGAGTCCAGCTGAATGTATCTATACTACTGACCTAAAAAAATATGAGATAAATGGATATAATTTTAAATCACTAAGGTTGTGCCAATTTATTATGCAGTAATAGAAAATTAATACACATATGCAGGTAAAATACAAGTGTATAGGTGAGACACAAGTCTGCATCCTGTGGGAAGGGGCAGAGGTTGATCCTGCTGCTTGGCTCATAAAACCTAACTGTTTGGGCATGGAGTAATTTATTTCAGGTCTAAAAGTCTTCCCCAATTTTTCCAGGGCTATCCAGGGCTTAGCCATATTCTGATTAGGCCAGAGCCTGAGCATTTCAAAGGAAGTGAGGATACCTAGACCCCAGCCCTGGTTCTGCCTCTTTATTAGTGGCTGGTGACCTGTAGGCAGGTCATCTTACCTCTGTTCTCAACCTTTCCAACCACTTTTTTTTTTTGGTACCGGGGATGGAACTCGGGTCCTTGTGCTTGCGCAGCAGGCAGCAAAACCACTGAGCTAAATCCCCGGCCCTCAACCACTTTTTATCGTTATCAACTCTCTCTTTGATATTTTCAAAGATTTTGCCAAATAGAATTGACAACTATTACTTATAATAATTGTTTCCCTATTTTTACTAACCAAAAGTATATAATTGCAAACCAGAGTAAATAAAAAAGAACAATGGTAGTTAACATTTACCGAGTGCTTATTTGCCCCACAGTGAACCCTTTTCTCTAACCTTGTCAACCCTACATTTACCCACATTGTCGGTCTTACACTGGGATGTATCATCTCAACTACTGATTAATGTTTGTGGTCTTTGTTCCTTCCTTCAAAGCAGAAACTTCTAGTCCTAATGCTGCCATCCTAATACGCAAAAACTTTGGGCAGAGAGCTCCACAGTTACTGTGAGTCACCTGGACAGCAACTCTCTACTATTTTACACAGGCCCAGAGAACTGGCCCTGGGAAGGGAGACAGGTAGCCTGAGATGCTGGGTAGCAGGGTGACTAGCAGCAGAGAAGAGCTCACTGATCCACTTATGTCTCCATTTTCTCCTGCCACACACCAAAAGTTTGGTGATTCTGTTGAAGACACATGGGGGTTGAGGAGGAACCAAGTGGCAGGATGAGGGATGGATGTGGGTCTGCAGAAGGATGGGCTGCCCACTGAGGCTCTCTGTACTCACCAGGGAGGCTGCCGGCTGGTGTGCGGATGGTGTGGAGGAATCCGGAGAGGGTCTACTTCTCTGGCGGTGGCAGGGGGGAACTCACGTTGGGCACTGCTTTCACTGGCCTTGTCCCACTGCTCATGGATGGGTGTGATGATTCCAGATAGGATGCGAGAACGAAGCTCCTTGCTGTTCTTGTAGGTCCTATAGGAAGTAGAGGAGGAATCAACTGTTTGCTGTTGGCGGTCAACCTTGGATACAGTATTCTGAGGGCGGCGACCTGGGTGGTGGCCCCGACAGCTCTCAGCCTGTGCTTGGCCTGTCTGTAAGGGTGGGAACAGGCTGTCCAGTGGTGGACCTAGGTGTGGGGGGACAATAGCCCGGCGCTGTCTCCTTGATTTGGGCCTAAGCTTCTTAGGCATCTGAGTTGCCCCTCCTCATTTACCACCCCATTAGAAAGAGGTAAGGGTGTAGGGGCACAGGGCTGGACTGGCTGCTCCTCTGTCCCCAACCCTCTCTCAGCTCCATTGTGTGCTCATCACGTGTCATGGGAAGGGTCATGGAAAACAAAGGGTCTGTTGGGAGGATGAACCAGGTTCCTGGTTGGGGTAGGCAGGGCTCAACATCAGTTCTGTCAATAATCCAGGGGTCTTTGGAAAGTGGACCCTACTATTTGTCCCATCCTGCCAAGGCCTTTTTCCTCTGCCCATGCAAGACATGCAATATGAGGTTTAGCTAAAGTAGCAAGGAGTGGGCAGAACTCTAGAGCTCCTAAAAATGTGGTATTTTAAAATGAGCCACATCCTGGGCCATAAAGCAAACTTCACAAATAAAATGATACAGAATGTTCCTTGACCACAGGGAGTCATACTAGGAATCATAACAGAAAGGAAGTCTCTGAAAAAATGTAAATTAACACATTTGTAGATAATCCAAGGGTCAAAGAGGGAAGTTCTGAAAAAACATCCACAGTACTAAATTAAAATAGAAATTCACATATTAGAATATGTGGAATACAGCTAAACCACTGTCCAGAAGAAACTTTATAGCGCTAAATGCTTATATTAGAAAAGAGCTGGGGGTTTAGCTCTGTGCTGCCTTGTGCCTGCCTTGAAATCACAAGGTCCTGAGTTCGATCCCCAGTACAAAAAAAAAAAGAAGAAAGATCTCAAATCAATCAACAGAATTCTGACCTCAATGGGCCAGGGATTTAGCTCAGTGGTTCCGTTGCTTGCCTTGCAAGCACAAGGACCTGAGTTCGATCCTTGGTACCAAAAAAAAAAAAAAAAAAAGAATTCTGACCTCAAGAACCTAGAAAGAAGAGCCAATCAAACCCAAAGCACGTAGAAGTAGGGAAATAAGATGAGAAATCAATAGTACTAAAAAGAGGAAAATAGAAGAAACTAAGGAAACAAAACGCTAGTCCTTAAAAAGTGAATAAGATTAATAAACTTCTAGTAAGACTGACAAATGTAAAAAGAAAAAAGACAAAAGATTTGTAACCACTGAAGAGATGGCAAGAGAATGCTAATGACTTAATTCAACAACTTAGAATAATTAATTCTTTAAAAACTATAAATAACTCAGTCAAATACATAATCTGAATAGTACTAACACTCTCAGTAAAATATTAACAAATTGAATAAAAATTGCATAAACAATTATAAGCCATGAACAAAGCCGGGCATGGTGGTGCACACTGGTAATCCCAGTACTCAGGAAGCTGAGGCAGAAGGACTGCCTTGAGTTTGAGGCCAGTCTGGGCTACACAGTAAGTTCAAGCCAGCATGAATTATATGAGACCTTGTCTCAAAAAAATCCAAAAAACAACAAACAAAAAACCCCACAACCAAGCAGTATTTACTCTAGGCTGGTCTAACATTTACAAATCAATACAATCTATATCAATAAGGGAAAAACCTCATATCCATTGATACAGAAAAAACCCCACAAAATCCAACATGGTAACTCTATTTATAATTTTTAAATATTCACAAAAACTAACAATAGAGGGAAGAATACAGAATTTCCTCAGCTTAATAAAACATATCTACAAAAAATCCTACCTCTAAAAATATATTTAATGGTGAAACACTGAATACTTTGTCTTTAATAACTGGGAACAAGGCAAGGATGTTCTCTTTCACCACACTTATTTAACATAACACTAGAAGTTATAGGCATCACATAAGGCAAGATAAACAAGAGGCACAGATATCAGAAAGTGCGGAATAAAATTGTCTCTATTTGCTTATGACGTGATAGTCTACCTTGACATTTCCAAGGAAATCTACCCAAAAAACTCATTGGGTATTAGGGAAATGTAAATTAAAACCATAAGATATCACTGCACATCTATCAAAATAATAAAAATTAATATATTAACAATAATATAAGATACAGAGAAACTGAACCACTCATTCACTAGTAGTGGGTAGAAAGTGGTAAAGACATGATTTTAATTTCTTATAAAACTAAACATGAAATTGCCACTGCAGTCTGGGTAAATGAAAATTAAGTTGACACAAAAGCTTGTACATCAAAGTTCACAGTGCCTTTATTTGTAATAGTCAAAAACTGGAAACAACCCAAATGTCCTTTAACTAGTGAATGGTTAAACAGTGGGACATACATAGCATGAAAATACTAGAGCCAACAAAAGATACAAATTATTAACATATACCATAACTCAGATGGATCACAAAAGTTATGCTGAGTGAGAAAAGTCAATCTCCAAAGGTAACATATTATGTAATCTGATTATGTAAATAAATTGCCACCAGGGGCTGGGGATTTAGCTCAGTGGTTTCGCTGACTCCTGTGCAAGTGCAAGGACATGAGTTCGATCCCTAGTACCAACAAAAACAAAACAAAACAAATTGCCACCAGGTTAGAGAACTAGGATAGGTATAGTTAGCAAAGAGCATCAGGAGGGATCCTTGTGGTAATAAAAATATTTTGTATCATTATAGCTAAGTTAGTAACTGGCTGTAATGTTGTAGTATGGTTTTGTAAGATGTTACCATTGGGGTTAAATGTATAAAGGCTACAAAAGGGTGTATTATTTCTTACAACTGCATGCTAAGGCTCCAATTACAGGATCTCAAAATTAAGTTTAATTTAAAAATACTTTTATGTATCACCATAAAATAAACTGGGACCCAAGGAGGACAAGTAGAGAAGCAAGGTGGATGAGGCACAGGGACCTCTATTTCTGCCCTGACCCTTTGAACAAGAGCAACTCCATTCTTACTAGCTTGATATGTCAATCTTGAAGAATGCTATACATGAAGAAAGAGTCCCACAGATGCACAACCATCACTTCAATGGCTTGGAAGTCCTATGAGCCTGTGGCCCATATGAACCCTGCACAGATCATGCTCCTATCTGGCACACAGAACCTGGGAGACTCTGTTGCCTCCTTGCCCAAGCTAGGTGGGGAGAAATGTAACTCCCCTTCCCTTTCAATCAGATGAGCTAGGAGTGATACAGGTGGGAGGTCTCTAAGACCATCCAGGTAGATGTTTACTTGTAGAACTTGGCCCTGATTCAAGAACCGCCAAGTCCTATAACATAAGTTCTTACATAATTTCTAAGCTTTGGTAGAACAACTGTCATTTTGGTAGTGGCAAAAGCCTTTTACCCTGTCTGACATAAAAAGGGCTTCGCAGGAAGGAACAAAACAGGTTTAAATTCCTTAGCAAATCCAGTGTTCCTACACAGGGCAAGTGACCTAACAGGGAAGGGCCTGGGAGAGGTAGGTAGCTAAAAGCAGGCAGCATAGTGCTGCTGCCTGGAAGCACAGGAGGCAATCCATAGCCCTGCTCTCAGAGACTCAGTTTCCATAGAGATGATTCCTGCCAATTAGCTTGTTTTCTCCTTTGTGTATTACTAAGAGCTGGGCTCAGTACTAAACAGTCTACGGGCTGACATCCCAATGGGTTCCCAGAACAACACTCTGTGGCAGTACTTTTTTGCCCCTCACTTCATGGTAATCAAAATGAAAAACAAAATATCCTCCCCTCATATATATGCAAGCCCCAATAACAAATGCATTTAAAAAAACAAATGGAGACACTATCACAACCTTCTTTCATCACTGCTGGGGGCACTAAATACTCTAATGAGCATAAACTGCCTGGTAAATGCCTGGGTTCTTCCATTTCTCTCCCAGTAGAATTCCAGGATGGTACTAAAGACCATACTCCAAGCTCCTTTCCCTGTTCCTGTTGCAGTGTGTACAACACCCAGAAGAGCAGTGGTCTCTGCAAAGCTAGGCCTGGGCTCATTTGCCCTCCTCCTTCCTTCATCTACACACAGTGCATCCAACCTGCCACTAGCAGGCTTCCGTTATTTCATTTTAATGTTATAAAAAAAACATTTCTTAAAAAAGGAAATTTTGTTATATATATATTTTGTAGGGCCAGGGATTTAGCTCAGTGGTTCCACCGCCTGCCTCACAAGTGGAAGAACCTGAGTTCAATCCCTGGTACCAAAAAAAAAAAATTTTTGGTTAAATATAAATGTATTAAATATAAATATATATATATATATATATATATATATATATATATAAATATATGGCCTAAAACAATTCCTTTTTATTCAGTGTGGCCCAGGCAAGCCAAAGGGTTGGACACCCATTAGTCTACAACATGTGAAACAGACCCAAGCCCTATCCTCAAGATCTCCAAGCAGCTACTCAGAAAATACCCATTTTGAAATGTCTAAAAGGAGGTTTCTGAAATGCCAAATGCAGGGGTCTGGGGAGGCCCCTCTGAGAATTAACACTTAAACTGGAACTCAAGGATGGACAGAAGTAGGCCATGAGAGGTGGGGAAGAGTGCTCTAGGCAGAGGGATGAGGTCTAAAGGGAGAGAAGGAAATGGCATGTGGCTGAGGCAGAGCAACTAAAGGGAAAGTGGTAGAGGGTAAGGTTGGATGGTGAGCAGTAGGCTTTAAGGCCCCATTGAGGATTTAGTTCTTTGTCCCCAAAGCTATGAATATTCATTGGTGGAAAATTCTTTTAAAGGAATAAAAATTTTAATTGTGATAAAATACACATTAACGTGAAACTATCATCTTAACCATCTTTAAGCATATAGCTCAGGGGAATTAAGTATATTTACATTGTTTTACTATCATCACCATCCATCTCCAGAACATTTTCTTTCTAATCTAAAACTTTATGCTCATTAAACATT